TATGAGCGTTGCTATAATGGACGTTAATTGCAAAATAACATATTTACGTTATTTTTGTAATTAGGTGTTTTGCTGTTTTTCCCACACCACCGAATGGAACAACCCCCATTGTTAGACATAGTATCTTTATTACAATAAATACAGAATATTTTTGGAATATACGGAGACGTACACAGGTCAGTTGTTGGCGCTGTACTATTTCAGCTTCCTAATTTGTGATTTCAGCGCAAACAAAAATTGATATTTAAAATTGATATAAGGCCCATTTGCCTAATGAGTTACCAGGGATGGAAGGCCCTTATTTCATCTCTATTTCTGGTTATATGCTCGATGTTTGCCAATAACAGACACATATATGACAACACACAAGGCTGAATTGAATTGTAGCAATATTTTTAATAACTTGCTTCATCATCAACCCATTTGAACATGCCACGGGCCCACCCCGGACACTCCATACAACGATCGAAAGTTATTTAGCTACTAGGGGAACGTGGGGTATTGGGAGCCCGCGGGTAATGAGAGCGGTGTTAAACTGGACTTTCCCAATGCTCGTATTTGTGCAAACGGCGCTCCTATGTCTTCGTTAACGTTTGACAAGGTTCGAGTCCCGTGGGCGCCCCCGTAGAACCCTGGGTTTAGTCGTATGAGATGATTGTGTGTTTTTCGCACCGCGCTTATAAAATTTGCTAAATTTCATCATCCCAGGTAAGCATTAAAATGCATAGATGCTACATTGTATTTACACTAACTATGTCACCATATCTATCAAATTTTAGAAGTTATGCTTGAAATCACAATAAAAATAGAAATGCTTTTACTGTTTTATTCCTTTTTCAATTCGATGTTACGCGGGTAATGAGAGCTATTTGGCTCTCCTTATCCCATTGCAATATTCACTGGATATTCCTTAAACGCTTACTTGTTTATTTTCATTACTTTTTAACTTATATATTTTATTACTTTATTTTTTTTTTCAGCCTGTATACATATAATGGCTCCCATTTGACATACGGGATTCTTACCGGCTCCCATTTCCCGAACTGTGGGGTAATGGGAGCGAATGACATGTTTTAGATTTTTCTGTTTTAACCAAATATTTTATTTTAGTTTCATATTTTTTATGTGACTATTTAGTACCCAGATATGTGAAGCGTATGTTCATAACTAACAAAAATTTAAATTGCATAAATTATGACTTCGTCAATTTTCCTTAGTAGGCTCCCATTCCCCCACGCTCCCCTACTACTACATACAGCACGGCGCTATCTGCACACGCGCAAATGTGTGTGTGAGTGGCAGGGTTGCCCGTCACTTTCTCATACTATTACGTTACGTGGTCAGAATGGCAACATAGCGAAAATTCTAACGCGAATCTGTTATCTATAATTCTATTTATGGAATCATAATAATTACACATGTTCATTACGTATTTATATCGATGTAATACTATATTTTTCATTAATTCAGTAACTAGAATAATATTGAAGATTTATTTAAAAATATATTAAAAGCACTTAAGATGTTTTATTTTGGACAGGTTTTTACCTTTAAATAAGGTAACCAAATTATTTGAAATTGCGTGTCCAAGTTTATCATTCCTAGTTAATAATTAGGTATATTCTCTACGTTATATTTTTTCCGCAACACAAATTGAAAATTCGAGAACCCTTGTCTACTATGTAGTTCACAAAGTTATGGCGTCTTATTATATTGATGTAATAAATCTGTGTTATACTATATTACTCTGCACCATTGACTTACAAATAAATGGACGACGGGTCTAATACAAAAACCACGAAAAAAATGTCCCAAGTCAACCTATTCGAAATTCAAATTGTAATGTCATCGCAGTATCGCGCTGTCAGTCGAACAAATGAAGACTAAAGCGGAGTTTGGCGCTCTGTATAGGATTTTAGCGCCTTACAAGTGCGGACACTTTTTAGCGCGGACCCGACATCCATATAATTGTAAGTCAATGCTCTGCACTCATAGATTTAGTATATAGGTACCCATAGATTGGCAATGCAAGTGAAAGAGCGTTAGTATATGTTAGAGTGAGATGGGTAGACGAGACCACTTCATTATACGCTATGAGCCTGTATGAACCTAGGGTCAGCTGACAACGAAACAAATTTCGTTTATTTTGTATAATTAATTAGTTAATTAACGTCTCGGCGTTTTGCGATAAGATATTTTGGTGAATACGATGAAGTGAAATGCAGTAATATGTTAATCGATATTAAAGTTAAATTAGTGGATGGCGCAACACTATTTATCTTCCACACATGCACATTATACGCACACAGATGTATTTTTGTTTTGGTCTCGCCTCCAATACTTCAGGGCCAATCTATGGATATACTAAATCTATATCTGCACTAAACAAACCAATAACTCGTTTCATCTTTCAGAAAAGAGCTCCTCTCTTTATCCCGTTTAGATGATGGTAAACAGCCGTACCCAGCACAATTCACGACCATTATAAATAGCAACGTACAATGATGTTATATATTAACGCACGTTAGGTAATTAATAAATGAAAACTATATTCAAATATCAAAGCCGTCTTAGCGCGAAAACTGCTCGCCGACAGCCATGTTGTCGTTCAGTCAATGTAACCGTGAATGTGCGGGGCGTGGTGCGGTAACTAAAGCTAGGGAGGGGGGAGAGTGTCCGTTCTCGTTACTTTCTGTTCTCTGCCACGGGTCTCGTCTCAGGTCATAGAACCCCACCCTGGCCCAATGCGGGTTGGGGGACTATACAGGTTTTCCGAGACTTATGAACCTTCTTCGACGTGCAGGTCATCACAATGTATTCCTTCACCGAAAAGGTCATGAGAAATTTCAAATTAGATTTCGCACGTAAATTCCGAAAAACTCAAGAGGTGCGGGCCCGGTTTCGAACCCACGGCCCCTGCGTAACAGGCGGTAGGTCCGACGTCAAACCATTGGGCTGCCACGTCTTACCTAAAACTTACGTCAAGTAAAATTATAAAAGGTTAATATTGCTATATATATGAAGTTCGTCATCATCATCTACCCATCTATACGTCTCACTGCTGGGCATAGATCTCCTCTGAGGAGAGAGTTTAGGCCATAGGTTACCAAACTTTTGGGCTTACCGCCCACTCAGGCCAGATAAAAAATTTAAATGCCCACCACCATAAAACGCCCTACTAACACAAAAAATCACAAGGAGAAAAATTAATCTTTATTTTTTATAATGCCTAACAAGTGACGGCACGAACAAGCCGTGCATCTGACGGTAAGCTACAAAGATCACAAAACGCAAAGATCTGAGGGGCATTGTTCACCAACGCTCACAATTGCTTCCGAGACCTCGACCCTACTAGGACGCTTCAGCGCCCACTGGAGGGTAGTAGGGACCACTTTGGGAAACTATGCTTTAGGCCATTTAGGCCTGGGATGAAACCTGCATGTCGATGATGGTTCACAATCCTTGGAAAAGGGTGAAATTGCACAAGCGGCATTGGGTTTACCTCACCTTTAGCAAGAGGTCTTGCTACTAAACAGTTACAAATGTGCCTAAGCGAGAAATTAAAATCAAAGATACCTACATAGAAATATTCGTGAGGTCCGCTGGATCGTTCCGTGGCTTAGTTGGTATAGCGTCTGGCACGGTATGCTAGAAGACGTCGGTTCGAATCCGAAGGATCTTTTTCTGAGTGTTCGATCTTTGTATATTGGAGTAATTTCACATAAAACTAACTGAATATCAATTCAATAAAAATATAAATACAATGAATAGCGACATCTCTAGCCAGGGCTGGTAACTGTAAAGGTATCTAACTGGGTGACCAAATACTTAAGATTTCTCATAGATGGCGCTACGGCTAAAAAATCGTTGAAAAAACCAAATACAAAGACGATAACAAACACAGAAAAATTCCTGACATCCGCTGGTTCGTTCAGTGGCTTAGGTGGTATAGCGTCTGCCATGGTACGGTAGAAGACGTCGGTTCGAATCCGGTCGGATCGAAGGAATTTTGTTCAATCTTAGTATTAATAATTACGTCATACTTTGCATACGCAAAATAGGCGCCTGGACGTCGAGTTGCGGACACCAGCTCGATGGTACATGCCACACGAATTCAAACTGTCCACCTTTGAATTGAGAAGCAACCTTCTTTCATTGTGCTACCACCGCTCGTACTCACTATTCCTCAAAGTTATAGCAATAAAAATCAAACGTGTCACTGCCAACTTGTAATTTAAAATAATTTTAAACCACCAAAGCAACCGTCAGTGAAATACAAGTTACATGTACATATATCTCAAATCCTTTCACATACAATAACTTTAAGGTTCAATTTATGTTAGCACGACAAACTTTTGCAACCATATTGCTCTTTATGTCGATTGTAACGTACAAAATAGATATGAGCCAAGAACAGAGTTCTGATGCTCGGGAATTTGTTTTCCATTACGCTTCCATTCCATTGCTCAGTAATTGTTAAGAGCTCTCATGCCAAAAAAGTTTTTGACGTTGGCTCCGCTCAAATTTGTGAAACAAATATATGCCTGAAGTTCACGTGACATGCGACAGGAGATGTTGAATTTTGCGCATTAAAAGCACCAAATTCGTTTTAGCGGAATAACTCTAAAACTAAAGGGATTTTAAAAAATCCGTAGTGACAGTTGTCGATCATGTATAAATATAATTAATTATCTAATTTTTGTCCTAATAACCTCTAGCATTTCGAGAATAAATCGAAAAAATGTGAAAATTAGAGGTAATTTCGTGATTTTTATCTATCGAGGAAACTTTATTGTTTTATGTTTCTGATTAGTGTCTATGCTTGAATATATCGTGTAGTTACTCATACAATATTTTATTTTTAACTTTAAAGTGGATACACCCCTCTAAAATCAAATCGAAGATTAGGAATTTTTCCTCTGCTCCCTCTAAAATGACTTTAACGCTGAATTAAGTAAATTATCTCAAGTTTTAATGAAATAATGCAAAAAAAGAATAACATTTTTATATATACATAAATTTCAAATAAAATTTCTCCAACACGCCGTAAAATGAAGATCAATAGAATGTAGAAATCATACTTTGCAAACGTTAGGCGCATGAGATATGCAAGACTCGTTGTAACAATAGCACTCTTGTTTTGGTAAATCTGTAATTTTTATACCAGGTTAGAAAATCATAACTTCTCGACGATTGGTAGGTCTCTCAAATTGAGGATACGCCATAATCTTTACGTTTGGTAAACAAATTACCGAACGCAGTACATATGCCATCTAGTATAATACACAGTGACGCTGCTGTCATTCTCCTTTATATTTAACCCTAAATCCTTTAATTTACTTCGATAAAACTTATCAGTAAGAATAGGTTGTACCACTTATAACTGGGGACCGCATTCCACGCCTGTGGTTATTTCAGCTAATTTATTCAAAAAAGAAACAGTCCGTTTTATTGAAGGATTACACAACTATGTCTTAACATTACAAGCGTTTACTTTTGATTATACCATACATATATACATATACAAGCAAACGAGACGACCAAAAGTACGTTGTGGTCAATCCACATTCGAGACGTCATCCTTTGAAGGGTATATAAGCTTTTCCGATATTATGGTTTCATCACTGTATTTACCTTCACCGTAAATCTTTGTTTGTTAGTAAGATTACACATACTGGAGAGCCATGAAGAGGAGGAGAAGAATACTGGGGGAAATTGAAACGGGCTCATAAACTCTTGACGCAAATCAGAACTCTCACCTTCAGTCAAATCATCATTATAATAAATCAAAATGGCTGGAATATGTGTATTCTCTGGCAATGCAACATCATTAAACCTCTCTCTCTCATCAGGGATCCCATTCTGCGCAAGAGTCTTGTTAGAGCACAACCCACGGCCGAGGTACCGCCACGTGTACGAGTTTAAGTGAGAGTTGTGTGGCATATAGCGCATCATCACTTGGTATAACGTTTCTTCAGAACAGACCTCTAAAGTTACCGTGGAACCTGGAAAAAGTTTAAGGAATATGACTAAAATTCCAAAGTCAACACGAGATACCTTCTAGTCGCGTGGATGGCAGGAAAATTTTTTCAGATCATTTATAATAGTTGGTCCGTCTGATTAGAATCTGATTGTATAAAAAAAAGTAATGCGTACTCAATCCCATTAATTTCAACAGTTCTTTTATTGTGCAATAGAGCATATTCTTAAAAAGTTTTTGATGATACTACTTTGCTCAACATCTCTAGTTCTACACCAGAATAACAATCAGGCAGTCGCCGCTGTAAACTATTTTTGATACACGCCTATAGGTATCCGATTCGGGAAATTGGACGTATATAGGTACATATATATAAAGCTACAAATAAATTATATTTAAGAGCTCTCATTGCAAAAAAGTTTTGACGTTGGCTCCGCCCAAATTTGTGAAACAAAACGCGAAGAAGACGCTGAAGTAGCCGTAACATGCGACAGGAGATGTTGAATTTTGCGCATTAAAAGTACCAAACTCGTTTTAACGGAATAACTCTAAAACTAAAGAGATTAAAAAAAATCCGTAGTGACAGTTCTCGATCATGCATAAATATAATTAATTATCTAATTTTTGTCCTAATAACCTGTAGCATTTGGAGGATGAATCGAAAAAATGTGAAAATTAGAGGTCATTTCGTGATTTTTATCTATCGAGGAAACTATATGGTTTTATGTTTCTGATTAGTGTCTATGCTTGAATATATCGTGTAGTTACTCATACAATATTTTATTTTTAACTTTAAAGTGGATATACCCATCTAAAATCAAATCGAAGATTAGAAATTTTTCCTCTGCTCCCTCTTAAGGAACTATAAAAGTTTGACCTGCTACTGTTACTTACAGGCAGCTCATCGATATGTATACTATCCCTCCTAACCTATGGGGTACATACGTCCTTGTCTAAGATTCTAAAGGCCAAATTGGAGGTTTGCCAAAGAGCTATGAAACGCAGCATTTTAGGCGTTAAGAAGACGCATCGAGTCCAAAACTAGTATCGCTGACGTCAAAAAACCAAGTTAATGTAAAGTTAAAATGGGACTGGGCTGGCCACATCTGCCGTATGCTCCTAGGTCATGTGTTACAATTCATTGGATGCAACAACATGGCTGCGGTCCGAGACGTAGATGACGGGATGACTTAGATGCATGCTGAAGTGACTGGCCGAAGATTTCTGTGAATAGAGAGAGTTGGAAGCCTTTGCCCAAGTGCTGGAGTAAATACTGCAGGATAATAAAAAGAAAATAGGCACCAAGTGTTGTGATTCCTCGTACCTGTCATAGTATTGGTAATCCTAATCGGCCGAGTCTTCGCAGTAGCCTTGCCAATGATGAGCGCCTCATCAGTCCACCAAGGATTTTCTATAGGGCGCCACCTCGTAGACGGTACCGCGGGCCGTTGATGTCCCTGCCCGTGGCGCATGTATCTAATCTTGGAGCCAACGATCGGGTGGATATATTTGATCCAGTCATCGCCGTTGAACCAATGGCTAACGTCTTTGCCGGCGTAGGCGATGATTGTCATTGCCAGCTAATAATATAAAATGTTTTATTAGATAAATTATCAGGAGTAGTCAAATTGAAACCAAGTTTGTAAATTTACAAAACATTTCACGCAGACTTTCAAGTTTTAATTACATCTCCATTACTGGTTACGCCAGTCTGTAAATTTTACATTCAACTTCGAATTTTTTAGTACCTAGCAGTAGAGCTCTTTTTTAGTCACGTTGTACGTAGAGCTGCTGACAACCTGAAGCGTTTGATGGTGACAGAGAAGGTTCCTTCCGAAAGAGGCCTCGAGACAGGTGTCCCAAACGATGGTCAGGTCAGACCTCCGAACAGCCGGAGCTACCTGTCATCGCTGCACTCCACCAGGCGACGGAACCGATGGAGACAGATAATTGGCAGGATGAAGTGGAGTCACGATCCTCAACAGTGAGGAAGCGATTAAGGCGAGCTCTTTGTGTAAAAGTTTACCTATTTCTGCCGGCAAGCAGTAATTTGAGCATTACTGCGTTCCGCTTGTGAAGGGTAAGGGTGCTGGTGAAATTGCAGGCACATGAGACTTTTCAACTTATGTCCCCGGGTGACGGTCGAAATGGCACTGCCACTCAGATCTTTCCAACGTAAAGCTCTGAGCGGCGGCACTGCAACTGTTATGGACGATCGTGTCGCTTGCCACCAGATGCACTTGTTCGTCACAGAACTGGGAAGTTAAGCATAATTAGCAATCTCACAGATAATACAATTCCACTTACCCTTTTTGCGTCGCAATACAAAAATCCTCGTTTGAAGCAATTACAGTATTCCACACATTCGTCACTGCAGAACCAGGTCTTCACCGGGCACGAACAAGACTTTCCGCAATGGCACAGTTTGAACTGCTGCTCCAACCAAGGTGTTAAGTTATACACCTTGGCAACAAGGTTTTAATGTTAGACTTACATAACTACAAAAGATCAATTTCATCCAAAAAACAAATACCTAATTCTTCTAAGACAAAATCTAAGTTGCAAATTATTTGTAGTTTTAGACTAGGTTCAGATGAACGCACACTTGCCACGAGTCGACGGGCGTTTGGAACGTTCAGATGGCGAGAGACAACGGGTGGTGCGCGCAAGTACTTGCAGTGAACGATAACGTGCGGTCATCGGTCACTCAGCGCCTTTGCAGCGGTGACACGCGTTTCGAAATATTTCCTCAGGAAAGTTGTACCAGATGATCCCATTAAGGGAGAATGGTGGTAGTTTAAAAGATATTCAGCTTAAAGCAGATGTAAAAGCGTTGAATGATAAAAAATTTATCTATTTACATATTGTCTTACAAAAACGTTTTATTTTTTGATCTTTCATTACTATATTTGAATATTTTTAAAACCCTACTAAAGGATCGTCTTGGACACCGGGGTGTCCTAATCCTAAGGGTATGGGCAAGATGATCCAGGGGATCGCCTTGCCTCTATTTAGGAAAATTTCTTGGTTTTGGTAGAAAAAAAATGAAAACAACAACTTTTTAGACTTAAGACTTAACTTACGTAATCTAGGTATATGAAACAACGGTTACGGAACTTCGAACAAATAATCCTAATTAATTTATATCTTACAGGTATCTAACGGTGGGCGATATTGTTTTTTATGGCAAGTTAATATCCATCCTCGTCTCTATTTCTTGAATGTACTTTACGAGCTCGATTTCCTGTTTAAGCCATCTGATGAAAACAGTTTTTTTTTCACCTAAATATTTAATTGAACTGACAGACCCTTTATTTTCACCTTTAGCCCGTCTTTTTAATGACATAACGCGTACCTACTGCTAACTATTTACTTGCCGATTTATGTGGCGTCCTACTTTTTACGCCTCTACTTCTTTAGATATTATTCTTCCGATCACCCCACCACGAATGGTTTTTCTTTTACAATTACGCGGCCTGGTCTAAAACAAGAAAAAGCCTTTATATTTGTTATTAATCGAGATCGATCGTGTAAACGAAATCCAGTCTCTTACTATTTTATTCGTATTGCAAGCTATTTAATTAAGATGTTTCAGTGCTCAGAAAAACATACAAATTAAATATGGTCCATTAACAATATATACAGTACACCAAAACCATAATCATCTTGCCCCAATTCACTTATTTTTATTTTTTATTCGGCAAAATAACCCGTATGCTGTCTACTGTTACCACGCCATTGAAAATGTACAAAGACCATTATACAAAGCCCCCAACACTAAAATCTTAGCAATTGGTTGCTTAGAATGGAAGTTGCCTAAGCTTTTAATCAACTTTACCTTAGATCAAACTCACACAATTTTTGTTTTTTTCCACAATAATGAACTCGTCACTCACATCGCTGTTACGAATTGACTGACGTGAGGGCACATTGAGGGCTACATTTTACTGAAGAAAATATCTAGATGACGTTAGTAGTTTCGCTACAATTGAAAAGGGTCATCTTACCTCCAAGTATAATCACGTACACCTCTCCCTTTTATAATAATAACCTTTTTATAATAATAACGCACACACTCAACATAGCCCCGCACTAGGGAAACCCTGTGTCGCGGGTGCCATGGACACACACACACACATAGACTACCACAAATTACACCCACACTCACGGGAGAAATAAATGTGGGCCATACACATATTTCTCCCGGCCTGGGAATCGAACCCAGGACCTCTGCATGGCAGTCCGGCATGGTAACCGTTCGGCCACGGAGCCAGTCGGAGCAATTCTTGGTAGCTTTGGTATCTACAGAACCGCTTTTTACACTTTACTACACCGACGTTCTGCAACAGCTGTTCAGGAGGGTAGCAGAGCAACGAGGGAGTGCAAATGTAGAATCAGAGACTTGCACTAAAGGAGCCAGTTCTATATTGAATTGTTTGTCCGTGCAAGGCATATTTCTGCAATGCCTATAATAAGGCATAAGGAGATTTCTATTTCAATTTCTATCACCACAACTACCCGTATGTCCGGCCACGACCATTACCTACATTTCCATTCGAATAATCCACGCATTCACCACCCGCGCAAGCCCATAAGCGTTGCGGAACCAGCCTAGGATAAACCATTACCTGTTATTGCTCAAACCTACCAGTCCGTTGAGAGAAATCCAACAATCGTTAGGTCGATTGTGCACCGCCACCTCAGCCGGCGTGTACCACTGTTGTTTGGTATAAATCATGTTTTATACGATTTTACTTTACCCTTTTTATACTCGTATTAAGCTGTAAAGAGATTTTCTCAACGATATCCAAATAATCAGAAAAACATAATTTTTGTGAACCTATGACAAATTTTAACCTTTTTAAACTTGACATTAATATTTGACAACAGTGAGTTTCCATACTTGAAATTCTTGGTTTTTTTTTGTCTGGAAAGATTATTATTGCTATTACTTATTTTTTTTAATGAAAGTCATGATGTAATACTAAACGAATATAATTCTTAAAAGAGCATATTTTATAACAAAAATATTTTTATAATTTGCAACTGTAACTATACGAAGGCGATTGTGAACATACAGGCAGTCTTTGTAAAAGAATAAGATATCTTTTCTATTCCAAACAGCACTAGGTAATATTTTTTACAATTAACGTAGCATTTCAGGTTACGAATACAATTACTTATATAAAACAACATACTAAGTGTAACAAAACCATGTAGAGACATGACAGTGTGTATGACTCAATCTTACTTGAAATTTTTTTTTTATTCAAATGTAAGCGTATATTTGACCTCCATCTTACGTGATGGAAAGTGACGATGAGGTCGACGATGGAGTATACACACCTAAATAATGCCTATTCACTCTCGCCTTGAAAAGGTCCAAGTTATAACGTTCAGGGAACAAGTCTGCAGGCAAGGAATTCCACTCCGTAGCCGATCGCCATATAAATGTGGAAGCATAACGCTTCGTGCGAATCTTTGGAATATCCACAACATAGGGGTGGAATCCAAGTCTACGCCTAGTCCCCCAATGATGGAAAGGGGAACACGGAATCAAATCATGTAATTCCATTACACACTCTCCGTGATATATCCTGTAAAATACCGATAAGCAGGCAATTTTACGGCCATGTTCAAGGCTCTGCAGCTTCGCCTCTGCTTATTCCGAGTCCCTCCTGGTACGCTTGTCAATTGAATCCAATGTGGCCAGCAGCAGAGCCATCCCAAAGGTGGCAGCTGTACTCCATACACGACCGGACTTGTGCTTGATACTGCTGAAGCAACAGTCCAGGTGTGAAGTAACGCCTCACCCGGAAAGGATGCCAAGCTTCCTGGCTGCATTTTTGGCCACGAATTCGACGTATCTGCCGAAGTTCAGATTGGACGACAGCTCCATTCGAAGTTGCTGGAGACAGTCGGACAATTTGACAAGATTGGCATCGCCCCAATCGGAGACTGCCTTGAGTGTCAAATCCAAACGGCTAACCTGTCAAAAAAACACTCGACAAGACAGGATTTCTTCACCACTGACCCTTGCATTGGTCAAGTACCTATCTACAACTGTGCTGTCATCAGCATACGCAAAAGTACCTGGAATTAACATATCACTGATATGCAGCAGAAAGAATGTTGCATACAGTACGGAACCTTGAGGAACTCCGGCCACAAGCCGCCAGTGGGAAATCCAGAATTCGAAAAAATAATTAAGTAATTAATATTTGGTGGTCCTAGTAGTTATTTTTCTCTTGTTTTATCTTTTTACAAATACAAAGATTGGTTTCTACAATTGTTTTAGAACTTTTACTAAATGACTAACACATTTTAAACATTTTACAGAGGGTGTTCACTCAATCCACACACACGTCCTCTAAATTACTAATAAAAAGTCGAACACAGAAAAAAACGGCCGCAGTGATGAAGGTTCTAAAATCTCCCACTAGATGTCACTACCCAGAATGCCGAGATCCAGTACAAAAGATCTTTAACAAAAACAAATAGGAGAATTTCGACAACTCGATAACTTGACCCGTAGCTGACTTGGTAGGAGCAATACTACGGTGCAGTATGGTCGTGGTTTCATTTCCCATCGGGTCATAAATGTTTTTCTATATGTTCGATCTTTGTATTAATAAGTATAATAAAAAAAATGGTGTTTCTTCTTGCGGGTGCTTTTATTCGACACTCACACCGCCGTCTGCGTCTAACTGTCATGGCAAAATAGGCTCTATTCGTGTAGCTTTTATAAACTAAATGAGTGTCCCGGAGACGCGGTCGAGTCTGGCTTGACTTTGTTGTCGCCTAGGAAACAAAATCGTCGCACGGCGGCTGCGCGAATATTTTTGCCTCGCATAACATGGCGCTGTGTGTTTGCCATACGACAACAGTCACAGTAATCTCGTGATAGAGGCAGTGAAGTAAAATAGGCTTTCTGTAACACTGTTTGGAAATAGAAAAGTTATCCCGTATTAGCTAATATATTGGATAATACTTACTACATGGATGTATATAATAGTTATATATGTATAACAGGTAGCTATAATATGTATAAGGTCAATAATTGAAACTACGTGTAACCGATTTCAGTTGGTCATGTACAGTTAACAGCGTACGTAGCGTTACACTTTGGAGTCCAATTTAAAACTAAGGTGTAAAACCGAGCGTGCTGTTGACGGTACTGAACACACCCCCTTAATATTAAAATTAAATTAAGTACGACTTGTGAAGGCTGGCTTATTGCTGTAGAGTTGATATGACATTAGACAATAGTTGTCTAATGTCAAAGATAATAATATTGTAAGGCTTCTGGAATATTGCCGTCATGCAATATGCCAGAAGAAGCCTTACAATATTATCATCTTTTTATTATTCATTAAGAAGGTTCTGGCTTTGTGTCGCAGTACGAAATAGAAGGAAATTTTTGTAACCGCGCGAGAATTCTTCGGAAGACGCGCGACCCTTTATTTCGACTAGTATCTAGTTTGCATGTTACACAATTAGCGTTCCACGTTACACTAAAATTCGATTTCATTCCGTTCCGCAGAAATGTGGATTGATCCTAACGATCACATACCACGTGCATAAGTGGGGTTTGCACCTTATTAGCGACCAAAGCATATTGATTTTTATTAAAATATTCAATAGCGAAAATGCCAATATAATGCAATCATACTATAGTATATAAATCGCCTATAATAACAGCGGCTTGTTACATATGACATTTTATATATTTCATTGCACACGGGGTCGGCTAGTATCATCGCTGCGTAGCGATTACGATAAATATGATACGTCACCGACCTCGAAATGATAATGTAATACGCACGTCGTCGCAATAATGTTACAAATAAGTCTTGGAAATGGCATTGTAACAATACCGTTGTCATTCAATCTTACTACATTCCATTGTTTCTATGACAAATATAGCTGACCATTTTCCACTAAAGTGCAGAAAAAGGAGACGAGTTTTTAACAATTAAGGCCCATTTAGATGGGGAGAGTTTCTCGCACGCTTCGAGACGAAAACTCGTAGGCGATTCTCGTAAGCAATAATCGCCATAAGATTATCGTATCATAATGTTTACATTCAGGCAAGAACTAAAATCTCGCCTACGATTATGTCATACGAGACTCGTAAGCAACTTAATCGCCTCCTCGACTGTTTACACGGAGAAATAAGTAGTAAGGAGATTCTTGCTTACGAGTTTTCGACTTGTCTAAACACGATCTCGTATGACATTTTTTCAAGTTCATACGATTATCGTACAAATCGGTTCGAACCGTTTTGAGTGCGAGAATTGCCATTCGAGTTCAGTGATTACTGCGGTATTGACTATGGATATATCGAAATGACGCAAAAATCATTCAAATTTGGAACTGCTGATAATATTAAGTTCATTGCACTGTATAGAAATATAATTTTGATTTATCATTTTTTTTTTAAATTATATAACTACTGACACAAACAAAACTGACAATTATGATAAATTTATAGGGCGAGTGAGTGCGTGTGTGAGTGCGTGAGTGACTGAGTGAGTGAGTGAGTGCGTGCATGCGTGCGTGCGCGCGGGCGTGCGTGCGTGCGTGAATGAGTGGTGAGTGAGTGAGTGAGTGATGAGTGAGTGAGTGATGGGTGAGTTAGTCAGTGAGTGGTGAGTGAGTGAGTGGTGAGTGAGTGGTGAGTGAGTGGCTGAGTGAGTGAGTGTGTGAGTGGTTAGTGAGTGAGTGAGTTGTGAGTGAGTGGGTGAGTGAGTGAGTGACTGAGTGAATGAGTGAGTGAGTGTGTGAGTGGTTAGTGAGTGAGTGAGTTGTGAGTGAGTGGGTGAGTGAGTGAGTGAGTGAGTGAGTGAGTGAGTGAGTGAGTGAGTGAGTGCGTGAGTGAGTGAGTGAGTAGTGAGTGAGTGAGTGGCGAGTGAGTGAGTGAGTGAGTAGGGAGTGAGTAGGGAGTGAGTGGGGAGTTAGTGAGGAGTGTTTATTGAAAAGTACATTTACTTGAAAAGTCGTGTCGGCCATCTTGGATTTAGAAATAAATGCTATGTTCGTAATGAGCACCCCCAAATACCTCAAAAACGATACCCAACTTGTCATTATTTGAAAAGTGCGGGCACGACTTTTCATCCTGGATTTAGAAAGGAGTGCCATATTCGTTACGAGAGCACCCTAAATACTATATTGCCCACGCTATATTCGACCACAGAGCCACTCACGCACTCACCGTTAGTTGAAATTTTTTTTTCGCTCTTGTTCCATTAATTCTTGTCTTAGAAAAGCAGTGATAATCAAAACACCCTCCCGCGCTGCACTCGTGGTAGAAACGGCTGGCACAGAAACTCGAAATACGATTTTTGCTTTCGAGTTCTGTTTACACGGAGACGTTATATTGAAAGGCGAGGAGATTATCGCTCACATGGACGGTCGATAATCGCAAATGTTTAGACGAGGAAAGTTTTTTTATATTCTTTCGATAATCGTATCTTCGAGACGAGAAACTCTCTCCATCTAAATGGGCCTTTAGGTTCTCGTTATGGTCACTAACCACGGAGACGACAATATAACGCCCTCCCATTGGCTGTTTAAACTACGTTCTCCGTTTTGGTGGATAACAGGGATTATCCCTTAAGGTCTAGATCAAGAAAAGAAAGACCACAGTGTTGCCATAATTGAAAAAGCTGTAATCATGATCAGTGTCATGAAGTTGCAGCTGGCTGGTGTGGCACTTGAGATAAATGCTTAACTATGTCCACCCAATCCCAACCCCTGGGCTTCTCCCCCGCGCGGCCTAGCTCCGCTTTGTCCCACGCTCTTCTCTTCTGCGCTTTCGTTAACTGCTCCTTCTTTTCTGGTTTCTTTGTTGACTCCGTCTGGAAAACGTTAAACCCTTTTCATCTAATTGCGTAAAACTTTCTAAGATCTTGTGACCACACCTGCAAAAGTTTATGAAGTAGGGAGAGGGTTAAACCCATAGTCGGCCATACTGGCCCGATGCGGGTTGAGGACTTTACACTTTTTTCAAAAAGTCGTGAATCTTCTACAGCTTGCATTTTCATCAGTGTTTTCATTCATAGTTAGCGGTGATATTAAACATTCACAAATGTTCGTAACTTAAAATGTAACGGTTCGTAACTTAAAATGGCACGTGCCATCACAGGGATTAGGGTCGTCGATGTCTCAACAATCATTAATTCGACTGAGCCCGCCTAAGCAGACATAAAACTATACAGTGGCGCCACTGCTGCGCTTCTAATTTGAAGGGGTCCTTACGTTCGGTCTCTTATTTGCACTTGATTTATAATACATTATTGCAGAGGCCGGGAAGTAAGGGATTGCTGGACGAGCATGAGTTACACCTTGTATTAGTACGAGTCAAGCAATTCCCGTTCCCGCCGAGGCATGTGTTTTCGTGATGAAAGTACAAAAAAGATGAAAAAGCACGAATGAATAAAATAAAATAGCAAAGCACTTCAAATTACTTTCCCGCCTTTTTCTTTTTTTTAAGGAAGCGGTACAGGGTAGGTGGTTACATGAGTTTTTCTTTTGCCTGTTTACATAGTTCATTGCGCCAATTGTTAGTAGATAGATTTCAAAGTTTAGAGCAGCGAACAGTAATGGATTTTCATACTTGTTTTGAAGGCCTTGGCCGGGAAGAAGACACACGGTCCATAAATGACAAACTTCCGTTGTTCGTTTTTTGAACGTAATGCAAATGTTGTCGAGCGTGTTTGAGAAATAGTACATTATTACAGAGGCTGGAAAGAAATTGCTGGACGAGTATGAGTAACAAGAACGAGCGTTCGTGGCCCTGTATTAATACGAGTCAAGCAATCCCCGTTCCCGCCGAGGCATGTATAGTATGTTTCTCAAACAAAGTGAGGAAATAATAAAAGACTAAAGAAAGGAAGGTGCATAATAGAAAAAGTTACGAAAATATTAATTGATATTTCGATCCGCCCTACGTAAAGTATCGTATGTCTAAGTTGCCAAGTTTGCAGTGGCGCCTTTTAAAGTTCTGAATTCACTGAAATAAGCACAACACGTGCTTTTAGTATTTGTCAGTTTTATTCGGCAAAGTCGTTACTCACATAGAGTATTATAAAATCCTAGATTTCGGTTAGATGATGTGTGATCATCTATTAGATCTATTAGATGATCACTCTATGTGAGTAACGAGCTTTGCCGAATAAAACGGAAAACTTTAAAAGGCTCCCCGATAAACTTGGCAATTTCGACTTACGATACTTTACGTAGGAGCGGTCGATTTGACGTGTTAGAACAATTGCCAAAAAGAATGTTATTGTTTTTCCAGGCACCCAGTAGTCTGCTGAACTTCTGATGATGTGTTTGAATGTGTATCTATTATTGTATTTTCCTTATCTCTCTTATTCATTTACGCGTACAAAATACAAAAAAGACGAAAAACAAAAGAATACCAAAACACTTTGGTTTAAATGTTACCGCTATTTTCTTTTTTTTAAGTAAGCTGTACAGATAGGTATTTTCAATTCTCACAACTATGAACACTAAGCAGTTGGCTGTATGAGTTTGTCTTTTGTCTTTCTATAGTTCATTCAGTCTTTATATAGTTCATTCAGTCTTTATATAGTTCATTATTAGTAGGTAGATTTAAAAGTTTAGAGAAGTGGACAGTAATGGATTTTCATACTCATTGGCCGGAAAGAAGTCGCACAGTCCTTAGATAACAAACTTTCCGTGTTCGTTTTTTGAAAGTAAAACAAACATTTCCGAGCATGGTTGAGAAAAGTTTTCTTCTTCCGACACAATCACCATTGTTATGGAAATAAATAAATAAACATTTTATGAGCTTAGATACCTGTTCTGTATCGTCAATGATAATCTTCTCAATCCTTGTAGACACAGCTTCTTCTTTCTGGTCAGCTAGTAATTCCGGCACTTTCTCCTTGAGGCATTCGAACAATGTGTACGTCATCGCACAGCCAATCCATTGGTCTGCCTCAGAGTCCACGATTGACAGTATCTTTTGTTTTACTGCGGGTAACCTGTAATTGTAAGAAATCATGATTTTTAAGGTTTCCTTGTCGACAACAATTATGAGAATAAGATTATATTCGCGGATCTAAATCGTTTTTTCACATCTGGTTCCATTTCTGCTTCCGTAACTTTTATAACGGAACTTTAATCGGAAGTTTACAGAGCTTTGGCGATGCTAGCGCGATTCGCTTGCCAGCGTACTATAAGTTTCCGGAACTGGCCTCTTACATAAACAATATTTGAAAAGTAATTACAACATTTGAAAATGGAACTCTTTGGCTGTAGAATACAGTTTGTTTCATCTGACTGTCACTTGTTTTTACATTGTGGCGTCATTTTAGAAATTGGTTGTCTACATCACCTTGGATTTAACTCGTGAAAATTTTCGTAGTATGATTTTCTACGACTTTAAGTGTAATTTAACAGCTCAGCGGAGCTTCGCACGGCTTCAAACTGCTTTTAGCGATGAAGCACCATGCAAGACGACTATTTGTAGCTGGTTTGCAGAATTCAAACGCGGTCGTGTGAATCTCAGTGACGAATTTCGTGACGGTCGCCCGTTCACTGCTGTGAACAACAAAAACATCGATGCTGTGCGCCATATGATCAAAACAGACAGGCATGTGACATACCACGAAATTCCGGCATCTTTAAGCATAGGCATGAGTCAAATACAATCAATACTACACTAACATTTGGGTGTGAAAAAGCTGTGCTCTCGGTGGATCCCACACAGTTTGAATGAGGCTCAAAAAACGGATCGCGTCACTTGATGCAACGCCATTCTTATCAGATTCAACGAAGGGGCGTCATATTTGATGTGGGACATAGTAACAGGTGACGAAACATGGATTTATAGTTACGATCCCAAAACAAAGCAGCAATCGAGCATATGGGTCTTTCGAGATGAGCTGAAACCAATCAAAGTGGCGCGCGTGCAAAGTGCCTCTAAGCGAATGATTGCTTCTTTTTTAATAAAACTGGACACGTGGCTGTTACACGCCCATTTGATTGCCGGAAGTTATTGACAAACTCCTTAAAAATAACCGTAAACGCTTGCACCACGATAATGCCAGTTCTCACACGGCCAGACAGACAAATGAATTTTTGAAGGTGAAAAACGTTCACCTTATGAGCCTTCCCGCATACAGTCCCGACCTGGCACCTTGTGACTTTTATTTATTTCCAAAAATTAAGAACCAGTTAGGCGGTCAACGATTTTCATCACCTGAAGAGAAGTGGAAGAGCATGAAAAATATGTTTCAGAGATTGTCACGGAGAAGTGGCATAAATGTTTTCAAAATTGGTTCATTCGTATGAAAAAGTGCATTAACGCTAACGGAGAATATTTTGAGAAATAATAAATTCATTTCTGACTATTTATCGTATTTTTTTCTTATTCATTCCGAAAACTTATAGTGCGCCTCACGTAGTAGTGATGTGTTAAGTGTATTTATGAAACCAAAACAAGCCTTGTTGAGAACAATTTCATTTTTTTATAGTGTTTACGCTTCCGCTTACGCTATCGTTTCCGTTTCAGCTAAGGGCGCGTTCCCACTATGTCGTGACGACAGATACTCGTGCAGTTTAGAGTGTCGTGGCTTGTATATTTAAATGAAGTTGGTCACATATAGAACAACACGATTAACTGTCGTTCACGATTTTTTTGTCGTTACGACGACGGACTGTCACGATATTGTGAAGAGTTAGAACGACAGTCGTCAGATAGTCGCAACTACTATTGTCGTCACGATTTATTTATCGTTGTCTGCGCGTGTCTGCAGGTGCGGGCGTGGACGTGGGCGTGGGCGTGAGCGTGTGCGTATGCGTGTACGTGTGCGTGTGTGTGTGTGTCTCTATTTGTAAGCTTGTGTGTAGTTTAGTGATGAGTGTGCTAAGAGAAAGTAAGCATGTTATGTCCATCTGCTCTGCCATCTACTCTCTTTTGCATCTAATAAAATTACAATTTCATAATGGAGATTTCTACTGTTACCCAGCAACAGGAAAAAGATGTTTTTTGCCTATTTTTAAGGATCCTTCCACGAAACAAACGGTGATATAAATAAATATTTTTCATGCACCCCATTGAATAAGATATTGTTGGACAAGTCTTTTAACTTGCAGTAAATTATGGTAGACATTTTGGTTTTTAGGTATTCCCTTCCCAAGATTTCTTCAAACATCATAAAATTAATAACTTCCACTTGCATATCTTCCAGAAAATAGTGTAGGAGACAACACTTTCAGAGCAGTCGTGCTCTGGAAGTGTTGTCCACGGCAAATTCGCTAGTACAGGGTGGCCCATAAGTCCTTAGTAATGAAAAAAATTAATTAAAATAAAACTAATTACATTATGAATAATATTATTATTTGTAAATATAGCTAGAAAAACGGGAATTATTTTTTGTAAATAACGTCGTCCAAATGTAATCCGTTACAGTCACGACACTCTTGCAAACGCCTTCTGAAATTGTCGATGACTGCGCGGCACGTCAGTGCTGAAATGCTTGCCATTTCTCTGCGGATGTTTTCTTTTAGGTCATTAATTGACCGCGGGTTAGAGTCGTACACTTTAGCCTTAAGGTAGCCCCACAAAAAAAAATCCATTGGAGTCAGATCCGGGCTACGTGGTGGCCACGAAATGTCTCCTCTCTTAGAGATAACTTTGTTTGGAAAAAGTTGACGGATAACGGGCATAGCAGTATTGGAGGTGTGGGAAGTTGCTCCATCCTGTTGAAACCATGTTCGGGCATTAAAGCCTGGAAAGTTTTGCAATTTTTGTGTGAAAAACTCCTCGATCAAACTTGAAAGTTGCAAATAATTATCAATGAAAGCAGAGTTCTTAAATAAATACTTACAAATACTGATTGCAGAAAATTTCCAAGTTGAATTTCGGTTTTTCTGTCGGGTAAGTGGGGCCCCATGAGATTTCTAGCACAAATGATTTTTCTTGATCCACATACTGAAATAAAAAAAAAACATCTTTTAAATAATCACACAAAGCCTTAATTACGTCATCATCAGTCATAGAGCTATAAATATTTGAATATAATTGTTTTATATAATTATTAATACAAAGATCGAACACTTAGAAAAATTATTTTGATCCGGCTGGATTCGAACAGACGTCTTCTAGCTTGCCGTGGCAGACGCTATACCAACTAAGCCATGGAACGAACCAGCGAACCTCACGAATTATCCTGTGTTTGTTGTCGTGTAATTGTATTTGGTTTTTTCAACGACTTTTTAGCCGTAGGGCCATCAATGAGAAATCTGTGAAAGTATTTCGTCACCCAGTTAGACACCTTTACAGCTACCAACCCTGGCTAGAGACGTCGCTATTCACCGTACTTAAATTTTTATTGAATTGATATTCAATTATTTTTTTATATGAAATTACTCCACTACTTTGTTATAATTATTAATACAAAGATGAACACTTAGATAAATTAATTATGTATTAAGAGGGAGCAGAGGAAAAATTCCTAATCTTAGATTTGATTTTAGAGGGGTATATCCACTTTAAAGTTAAAAATAAAATATTGTATGAGTAACTACATGATATCTTGAAGCATAGACATTAATTAGAAACATAAAACAATAAAGTTTCCTCGATAGATAAAAATCACGAAATGACCTCTAATTTTCACATTTTTTCGATTTATTCTCGAAAATTAAATGCTACAGGTTATTAGGACAAAAATTAGATAATTAATTATATTTATGCATGATCGACAACTGTCACTACGGATATTTTTTAATCCCTTTAGTTTTAGAGTTATTCCGCTAAAACGAATTTGGTACTTTTAATGCGCAAAATGCAACATCTCCTGTCGCTTGTCACGCGAACTTCAGTCATATAATATTTGTTTCACAAATTTGGGCAGAACCAACGTCAAAACTTTCTTGGCATGAGAGCTCTTAATAATTACAACAAACTAGTGGAGTAATTTCACATAAAAAATAAATGAATATCAATCAATAAAAATTTTCAAAATTGTTTTTTTCATAATACCAAGTGACAGGACTAACAAATCGTGCACCTGGTGGTAAGTGACACGCCTGTCCATAACAGTTGCAGTGCTACTCGGAGCTCTAAATTACAAAGATTATATACCTATATCCCAATGGGCGTAGTGGCAAAGCCCCTTACTTTGCCACTGCGCCCATTGGGTAATAGGCGCAGTGGCAAAGCCCCTTAAATCTTGAGATAGATACATAAAGTTAACAAATCCCTCATGCTCATAAAAGCACCCTTATCCTTCAAACCGGAATATGGTAATGCTTATGGCGGCAGAAATAGGTAAGGTGGCAGTACTGTCTTATACAAGAAGCTCTACTACTGCTATTATAGGACTTTAGGGTGCTTTGTAATCAAAATCGTTAGTGAAACGGTGTCTCTAACAATTACAGATATATGCAGATGCGTTAATGGTTTAAAGAGAGAACAATATGAAGTTTGGTCAGTAAGTAATTTTTTAAATCTCTGTATTGCCGTAGTGCATACTCTCATACTTCTGAATAAATAAATAAATAACCTTGTACTGATACGTAGTAGGACTAAGCTGCTTGAAGTTTTCATCTCCGTCATAGATGGATTTCAGCACCTCTATCTCTTCAGCTTGCTGCTCGGCGTCATCGGACATGGCAAGGATATCTAGAAATATTTCATTACATACGTACTTGTACTTTTTTTTATAATACCTAGTGATGGGACGAATAAGCCTAGCACCTGGTGGTAAACAATATGCCTGTCCACAACTGCATTAGTGGCTGAATGGTTACCATGCCGTATTGCCACAGAGGTCCCAGATTGATTCCCGGGCCGGGAGAAATAATTGTATGGCCTGCGTTTATTTCTCTTATGAGTTTGGGTGTAATTCGTGGTTGTCTATGTGTGTGTCCATGGCACCCACGGCACAGGGTTTCGTTAGTGCGGGGCTATGTTGAGTGTGTGCGTTATGATATTACTATTATTATTGTATAATAGTTGCAGTGCCACTCAGAGCTTTAAATCACAAAAATCTGAGATACACTGCCACGGCCCGTCCCTCTGAGATATAAGTTGACAAGTCCCATACTAAAATATACTCAACAGTCAACAGTATACTAAGCCTATGTAATATAGTAGTTCAGTATAGAGGTTCAGTACAAAAACACATTTGTCCCACACATGCATTCGTTTAGAAGTCGATTTTATCGAGGGTGATCATTGACTTACAATTATATGGACGATATGACATTACAATTTAAATTTCGAATAGGTTGACTTGGGACATTTTTTTCGTGGTTTTTGTATTAGACCCGTCGTCCATTTATTTGTAAGTCAATGAGGGTGATGCAGGAATTTGCGTAAGCTACGTGATATAACCTCGAAAAAACAAATTGATACGATAAATTCATAGGAATGCTTATAATAAAGAATCTAATGTATATTATCAATATTGATATTTTTATTACCATAAAACGACACGAATAAAGCGTGTTACATTGAAAATATTTGGCATCCATGCAAACTTGGAATACCCATTTGTGACTTACCTTTAGGTCCAAATTGTTGTCGTTGCTAACAGAATCGAGGATAGTGTCACTAGGATACTTAAATTTGTAAATATGCTGAATAAAAACAATTACTGAGCAAAAATTGCGGATCTTAACAATAACCAAAATAGCAGTTTTTTTTATTGGTTTGGCAATTTGGCAGTTCAGGCTGTTGCACATACGTTTTTCTTGGGTAAAGTAGAAGTAGGTTTTTGAAGCCTGCTTCATGAATTCGGCCATTTGTGGTGACTCGATTTTGTACGCGCGGTTATTATACAGGTTGGAAATTTGTAATGCCACTTGGAAGGAAAGTACGTTAAATACTGGAGATATAATTCTTTACCTAAAGGAAACATTCCTTTATTTTTAAAAAGAAATAATACTGCATTCAAAGATTTTCGAAAATTGCTAGCCACACGCGAGAATCGACCAAGCTAAAATCTTTAAAAAATGCACCTGTACTTTTATTAAATCAATCGATAGGGTCAATTATGAGGATGAAATCTCTCTTACAAACCATGAAATCTGGAGTTACAAATTCAATGGGTCAAGTTAAAGCACTTTTACTCGAAGGTCCATCAGATTACTTGTTAATTATCGTTGACGTCATTTATCCATTAAAATAACGAAATACTATTTAGATAAGAAGATTGCAATTTAAATACAAACTCTTATGTTAAAAATAAAATTTACCCTAAATACTATGCGAATGTAAACGAGTTGAAGGCTGAGGTTCAGAATACGATTTGTAATACAATTCATCACAACACGTTATTAAAAGTTACTCAAAATGAATTCGTTAAAAGATTAAATTTGTGTATCCAAGAAAATGGAGCTAATTTCGAGCAACTAATTAGTTAGGTTACCATTTTTTTTCGTTTTGTTAAAATACGTTAAGATTTTATGGTTTTTTTTTTCATTTAATTAACCAATTTAGTGAGAGAGATTTTATTCTTGTAATTAACCCTATCGATCGATGCAATAAAAGTGCAGGGTGCATTTTTTTCAGATTAAAGCGGGTTCGATTCCCGTGTTGCTAGAAATTTTCGAAAATCTATGAATGCCGTTTTATTTCTTTTAAAAAATAAAGGAATGTTTCCTTTAAGTAAAAATTTCTATCTCCAGTATTTAGAGTACTTTCCCTCCAGGTGGCATTACAAATTTCCACCCGGTATAATATACAGTGACGATATTCGACATCATTAGAATATTTCCAACTTAATGGTTTTACCACGAAGTATGAGGCATAAAATTTGTCAGTTTTTTAAAGCTAGTGCTATAAATTTTTTGCTGATTTACTTGAGATGTGTTTTATTTTTCATGCACTAATTACAATGAAATTACTTAAAGTATCAAGTAGGGTCAAGAGCATGTCAAGCTTGACACTTAAGATTTAAATTCAACTCTATGCCGCCTACGATAAGAACGGTCCAAAGTACAAAGTGTCAAGCTTCACGTGCTCTTGACCACAGTGAAAAAATTGTTGTTTAGTTGGAATTATGCGTTATAATATGAGGCTTCGCATATTGAAAAAAAAACACTGACATTGAGAATACATCGAGTTTTTAGGTTTTTCAGAGTAGGATGGATGGCGTTAATATAAGGCGTAACTGTTTCATGGCATACATCTATTAGCCGTAAAAGTCGTAAAGAGCCTGAAACATTGGTTCGTATGAAAAAATAAATATACCCGATTTTAAATCCGAAGGAAATAGTTTCATTATCAAAGCGCTACATAGCTTTTGCGCTGCATAGGTGAGGACTAATTCTTATTACTAAGAAGTTAGTTATTATTTCAATATTTAAGGGTTGTATTTAATGTGGATTTTTTGTGGAATAACTCCACTAGTTTTAATTATTAATACAAAGATCGAACACTCAGAAAAAAATCCTTCGATCTGGTTGGATTCGAACCGACGTCTTCTTGCATTCCGTGCCAGACGCTATACCAAGCCACGGAACGAACCAACGGACCTCACGAATTTTTCTATGTGCTTGCGTCGTGTGTTTGTATTTGGTTTTTCAACGACTTTTTAGTCGTAGCGCCATCTATGAGAAATCTATGAAAAATGTATCACCCAGTTAGTACCTTTACAGCTACCAGTCCTAGCGAGAGATGTCGCTATTCACTGTATTTTAAATTTTTATTGAATTGATATTCAATTATTTTTTGTGAAATTACTCCACTAGTTTGTTATAATTATTAATACAAAGATCGAACACTCAGAAAAATTAAACATTCACTAGTTTTGTTACGATTATGAATACAAAGAACGAACACACAAAAAAATTGTATTGTTAATATATAGATCCATCTTAAACCTTCCCTAGGAACCTAGTTTTCTGCGTTATTGTCCAGAGTTTAACAATCAAATTTAAAATACTGAAAATACCTTGGCTCCACGGAGTCGATTGAGAATGGAAAAATAATATTTAAGATTCTATCAAACTTTTGAAATGTTACTGTATAAGTGTTGCCCTACTCAATTATTAACAAAGAGTTTATATACCTACGTTTCTATTTCAGATTTTGTAACAAATGTATTTCCTGGACACTGGGTTTGGCATTTTAGTGTAATAATTTATTTGTGTCTTAAACATATACATAGAAGAAATGTATTTATTATGTTTAATACGATACAAAGTAATAGAAAATTAAAAACAGCTGCAGATATTGTGACTGGAAAAATGGTAAGACTTTATAAGTAAAGTTTTTGCGACAGGTGAAGTTAAAAGACGTTATTTGAAATCTTGTGGATTGATAAGTAGATTAGTTACTTTTTCTTCATTTGGGCATCACGTCGCTGCGATTTTTCTGTAAAAAATGAACGTTGCAAAGTGCGGCTGCAAAGAAAACCGTCCACCATTATATGGACGACCTGCATGTGGTTGTGCTAGTGCATCGTCAAAAGCACCTGATAATAACTTCAAAGTTCCAGCGGCTCCCGTACGACCCTTACACTCTACAAGGACGAACCTGAATGGAGAACCATCAGTTAAACCTGACATACAAAAACAAAGGGATGACAAAAGGTCGTGGACTCTTTCTGACTTCGACTTAGGCCGTCCACTTGGCAAAGGAAAGTTTGGTAATGTTTACTTAGCTCGCGAGAAGGTTTCTCACTATGTAGTAGCCCTGAAAGTGCTATTCAAAAGCCAGATTCTTGATTCGGAGATCGAGCATCAAGTGCGTCGTGAGGTGGAGATACAGTGCCGTCTAAGACACCCGAACATTTTACGTATGTATGGGTATTTTCATGACGAAAAACGTATTTATTTAATTCTCGAATACGCGAAGCACGGTGCTCTGTATAAACTGTTGAAAGAGCGTGGGCGTTTTGACGAAAAAACCGCCGCAATTTACGTCAGAGACCTGACCAAGGCTCTGTTGTACTGTCATATGAAGAAAGTTATACATCGCGACTTAAAACCGGAAAACTTGCTCATTGGACATAATTGGGAATTAAAAATGGCTGACTTTGGCTGGTCCGTACACTCGCCATCATCAAGAAGAATGACCCTTTGTGGTACATTGGATTATCTGTCTCCAGAAATGATTGAAGGGAAGCCACACAGCTATGCCGTTGACATCTGGAGTCTTGGAGTTTTATGCTACGAACTGCTTGTTGGGCTACCTCCTTTTGACTCAAAAGAAACTCAGCAGACTTACAAGAAAATTAGATATGTAATCATAAAGTATCCAGAGTTTGTGTCCGAGAATGCAAAAGACTTGATTGGCAGGTTGTTAGTCATTAATCCAGAACAAAGACTGCCTTTATCTAATGTACTCCAACATCCTTGGGTTATAGAAAATGCACCAGAAGGTGCTAAACCTCCAGATTTTGGGGCACAAACAGTTGCTCCAAAGAATTAGATGTTATATAAAATTATAGGCTGTAAAAGTTTTAGGTTCCCTTATTCATATTGACTAAGAAGGCAATTTAACTTCTTACAATTGAATTACAATTAAACATTGTTAAATAATATTTGCACATCTCTGTGGAGTTACAATTACTTTAAAAATACACCTTTTGGAATGGTAATGAGGTACAATTTTCTTTCACTCATTGAGATAATATAAAAACACAAGTACTGTGACTTTACTGAAATGGGCCAAACTTTAGAAATACGCATTTTAAACAACGCGATTTGTAGTAAATGGAATTATGTTTTAATCATTTTTGTCAAGGTAACTTAATGTTTATTAGTTTTGTAACTTAATTTTAGATGGTAAATAAATTTAAAATATTTTTAGACAGATATTTAAAAAAGTGACTGATGGTAAAATTTTGATTAGATTTTAAATTAATAATTTGTTTTAATTAATAATTGTAACCACTAGTATAGTATAACTTCATGATGATGAATATAACTAAACTTATTTTAAATAGAAAATGTGTTCTTATAATTTCTACAATAGCATAAGATGTAGATTCAGATTCATTTATTTCTCAAATATAACATTACAGTATAAATTGCACTATATTTCAAAGTATAAGAAATTATATTGAGATTGTCAAGACAAAAAGGAAAACTATAAGAAAAGCACACAATAATTAGATAATTAACAATTCATTATATAATATTGTTGTCATTAAATTACATATCAAATATCATTCTCCATCAAGGATCGTCATAAGTTGATAACAATTAAAAAAGAGTATGTTAATGCGGTAAAAATTAGAATAAAAATAGAAAATACTGAATTCGTTATAATTTAAAGTCCATAAATTCTTTTACAGAGTATATAGGATTTTTCAAGAAAAGGTCTTTCAGCCGGCGCCTAAATGTTTCGTCAGATGATATATATATATATATACAGCGTGTCCCAAAATTCAACGATAAACTTCTCTACCTGCGTTATTGCTATTCAACAAAGGACATCTATCTATCTCTTTCTAACGTATATCTCTCGGTATTTTTCTCTCTCTCTAATTTCTAAATTGTATCGACTACGCACTCGTGCCATTGAAATTCCAAGAAATTTTTGTGTAAAACTGCAGGCATTCTAGGGTTTTTAAGAGTTGTGGTAGACAGCAGTACTACTTAGGTGGCCGTTAAAATTAAAACATCAGAAATATCTGAAAAAATGTGGTCGTGGTGATTCAAAATATCATTAAGGGAGTAAATTTTCGAAGAATAACAATTTTTTTATCGTAATTGAAAAAAAAATTAGATAGATTTTTTTTCTTATTTTTCCTCAAGTAGTTATGCGCAGGTCCACCCTCCAGCGCCCGCTTATCGTTGAATTTTGGGACACGCTGTATATATATCTAATCCATCATTCGTTCAACTGTTGGTCACAGGTCTCTTCTAAGGAGAAAGTTTATGACATAGATATGGACTGGGGACTTAACACATTTTCTCAGGGCGAACCTTCAATGTGTAAGTTTTATCACAATGTTTTTCCTTCACTATTAACAAAAGGTATTGCTATTAATTATTCACAAATGTATGTAATTTAGAAATTAAAGTCATAAGTATATGTTCCTTCTGAATTGAGAAGCATTCGATCTCTCACTGGGCTACCACCACTCTTACCGCTAGGTTGTCTAGATAAAGAAATAATATGCTAAGTATTTGGGATCTTATTGAATCAAACAGGAAATTCCTGCCATTAGATTATTTTATTTCAGCACCTAAAATCAAGTATTTTAGAAATTTTACAACATTGTTATACAATGATTATCATCAAATGACTGTTATCATGTCGTGTCAGGTGGTAAGCGACACGCCTACCCATAATGCTCTGGCCACACAGAGGCGGCCGCGGAAGCGTTCCGGGCGCGGAAATGTTTGTAATGTATGAGTTCACATGAACCCTGTCACACTGAAACGCGTAGTAAACGCAACGCGGTGCGGGGCCGAACGCCCGCGACGAACGCGGCGCGGGTGCGGGCGCAGATGTTGTAATACATTGAGTTCTAGGTTATCTATGGTTCTATGCAACCGGCCACACAACGCGTCTACGGCGGGGCGCGGTCCGGGAGCGGGACATTAGCGGGGCTTCAGCGGGCTTGAACGTTGTAATTTTTTTTAAACTGTGGAGTATGTTTTAATTAATGTCAAAATGAATTCTACTGAAAAACTTATATCATTAGTGCAATCATAGCCTAGTTTGAAATTATAAAAACAGTTTAAAGAAGGAAATGATTTGGGGAAAAGATTTCCAAGAAGCCAAATCAAATTCGTGAATATACTATTTTTTACTTCATTATACCACTAGGTCCACGACTTGTTCATCCCGTCATTTGGTATCGTAAAAAAAAGAGCCTGGATAGCAAATAGCAGTAGGTGACTGTTCAAAGCGAAGTACTAGGAATGTGGAACTTTCGCAGATTTAGCGCTAGTAAAAGAATGAGGTTCTTCATCACTATCCGACAGTGACATGGTGCTTTCTTTATCTGTGTAACTTACAGGATGGAAAAAAGTTTGAAAATGAGGTGTGGCGTGACACAAGTCCTACCGCACAAGCTATACCGCGACTGTGTGGCCTGACTTTAACAGATGTAGTGCCACTCAGAACTTTTAAATCGCAAATTTTGAGAGGCATTTCCACTGCGCCCGTCATTCTGAGACAGAAAGTTGACAAGTCCCATATCCCTGTATTTTCACCAGCGCCCTTAAAAACGGAACTAAGTCAATATTGTCAATATTTACATTTGCTCCTTGGCAGCAGAAATAGGTGTGGGCTTATACATAAGTTACTGTTTTTTTGTCTTACTCATATAGTACAAATCTAATGCATACTTATCAAAATTTGGATCCCTTTTCACGATCAAGTGCCAGTGAATTAATTCTGCAATAAGCACTATAGAACTTACAAGATAACCTATACCTAATGCCACAAAAGCCCCGTACAACTTTTTCAAGTTCATTAGAGCTTTTATTTCGTCGTCTACCGTGTTCAGAGTTCGTATGGAGTACATGGCATCGTTTAACCATTTCTCCACCAAACCAACTTCGACAATCCGCCTCAAATAAATATCAGCTAATGGTTTTAAAGGGGAGTTCTTGTGAAACCCAATCGATATTGGTATATTGACAACGCAGTCCGTCATAATATGCAAGTTTCTTTCTGTATTCGTAACTTCGATTGTTTCTGTACCGTTCATTGTGGAATTTTCGAACTCTTCCATAGGCATGGAGGTATTTTTTCTCTTAACGCTTATGTATTTTAGGAAATCTGCGTTGTCGTAATACGCGTAAGTTCCTCGTGCGACTTTGTTTGCGGCGTCCATAGGATCATCGATTGTTTCGAATCTCTGGCCAATTTTCTGGCCAATGTCGTCGTGGGAATCTTCGAAGAATTTCTTCGTTTCTATGCCCCAGGCTCCACAGGTTACCTGGAAATCAAAGCATTTTTCATTTACCTTCACAATTGGTTCAGCAAAGAAGCTGAACTATTGGTCGAGTTCATTATTTAAAAAAAGATAGATTTTAAGCTAGATAAAGTCAACAGTCTTCTTCCAGGCTAATGTATACCCATCTTGTCTGTATCATTTTTCATCAAATATGAGGTTGCGGAAAAACGTTAACCTATAATAAATTAACACATTTATACAGTATTTAAAAACTGATTTCTCTAAGATTCACATTATATGCCGCCAAGAGCGCCTGCTTCGCATTTCATTAAGGGAGTTTGTGGACATAAGTGAGCCTTAGGGAAATTTCCAAAAAAACGATAAGAGGTTTTGTTAGAATCTACCAAAACAAATGTTACATCTGGAATTTACAGACAATGTCACACTTTTTAGACGCTGATAAAAGCTGGTACCTGTAACCTGTAACATTCTTAATTACACAGACGGATAATGACGACGCAAAAACTTACCTCTCCTATAAGTAGGTACCAAGGTAGTTCTGCAAGATGCTAGCTATCTTATCTATTAGTATAGTTACCTTCTTCGTTATAGAGACGTTACTTTGTGGAAATCTATGTACTTATAATAACACAAACGCAACTACAATTACGAACACCAAAAATATACTCGACACACGTTTCGCCTCTATAAGGCATCCCAAGGAGTTGTTGGTAGTATTTATGATTGTAGTCGTTTGTTATTAATTTTACGCTGAGGGAGGGTGGGAACATTAACTAAATGAAAAAATATTCAACACAAGCGCAACTATTTTGCATAATTGAACCTTCACTGGGTTAGCAAAGAAATTTACTTCTAGTTTTACTTCATTATTTACCTTGCTATCAACCAGTTCCCTCAAAGTATCAATAGTGACCCTCGGCGCTGGATTCGCCAATATCGCAGTCATACTAGCTCTATACGACACGACAAGCAGAATACAGTATAGCCAGTACCACCCAGTGAGCAGTCTTATAGACCAGCCAGTAGGCAACTTGGGTAAAGAGACGACGAGTAACATTCCATACGTGTAAAGAATGCTGTTAATTATTTCGCCAAACAGGTACAACCCAGGTTTTGAGTCTGGAATGCAAATAATCACATTAGCACACTTGTGTGATGTCTGAGTCGAGTTTGAAGTGTGACCTTCAAGTATACGGACAAAGTTCGTCCTCTACATACTACTAGGATGTTGGATTTGCAATTAATGCCCTTTGTTATTATAGGCGTAACTATATACAGGAAGGTGTTGCTATTGCCCCTGACTAATCTCTTCATGCGCTTCCGGTGGGAAGCCATGGGGTGACAACAAACCAGTATCATCTCCTTTTTCGTTGAAACCAGGAGTGCTTCTGCGATCCTTATCCTTCAAATCTAGAAGATTCATGTAGAACTTTGCTAGGCCGTAAAATATTGACCCTGTTATTAGCAGTACCAAAAGCACGGCTACCCACATGTAGAGTCTGCAATGAAAAATACTTAATTTCACTATATCTCTCTGTTTAATAAAACACATTTTTGTAATATCATAAGCAGTGCTTTAGTTTACTTGGAGAAATGACGGTGTCGGTTACCTATGCCGTGACAGAAATATGCGTACAAATTTGGCGAATGCTGTTTGCATTTGTACCAATGGCTCGCGAGCTGCACTCGTGCATTTCGTAGTGCGATCTGTTCGCAAGCCATGGCCTCGGACGTCATGCACACAGCAATGGGAGCGGCGGCGATCCCTAACTGAAAACAATACCCTAAACAACACAAAGGTGGCGACGGCAGGTTAGCACGCTATGCCACTATACACATACATGGCATCCATCAGCTCTGTACGCACCCCTAACGTGCAGTCGATGTTCTAAATAACATTCTACCCTATTATATTTTTAGGCTATTTAGTAATAGTATAGGAAATATTTATATTACTTAAAAGGTAGGATCAAGGTTTTCCAAGAATTATCAGTCAGTGCCTCTGGAGTCAAGAAAGTCCAGCATTGCGACGTATAAGGTATGCTCAAGTCCATTAAATCCAAGTGATAAGGCGTGTACTGCAGATTGCCAAGGGCCACATCTGCTTTACCGTTGACCATTTCACCAAGAAGCCCTGAGAAGGAGCCGTTGCTTTGCATATGACCCCATTTGTAGAGCTCAATGTTTACTGGCTGGTATAGCTTGGCGTTGTAGTTCATTTTGCCAGCTAAAGTGTTGAGGATCTGAAATAAATCCCGAACTGGAGCGGCTTTTGACATTTAGATTCATTTTATCTCCAATTATATTTTATCCATAATCGTCTATCGTATTTAGCTAATTAGGAATAGGAACCCCGATGCCTTTGACGACATGTATTTAGGGCCTTCTGTTTTTTCAATATTAGCTACTTACCTCAATTTCAACACCACCAATCTTACCACTCTCATTACTCTTCAAAATAACAACCGAAGGCACGTGATCCAAATACACAACATTCAAGATTTCTCCATTCAAATTCCTTGTTTTATCGGCAAAGAGGACTCTATTATAGTGAAACTTCCCGTTCTTCCAAATATCAACTCTTCGTGGCACCAAGACACCTCGAATAGGGTTAGGGAAAGGTACCGTGGTTAAATCGAACCAAGCTCTGCTCTTAATGTTGCCAAGGATTTTCTTATAGTGGCGAACGAAAATTACGTTGACTATACGTTTCCAGAGGTAATGAAGCTCGCTATGAAAGAGTCTAAAGTCGTGGAGAATTATGTATTTTGCTCTGGTATCCAATATTCGGTGTCTGAAAGTATTTAAACCATACTGATTGAATATTGAATGAGAAAAAAGCCGTGATGGCCTAATAGTTTGACCTACGGCCTCTCAAACAGAGGTTGTGGGTTCGTTCGAATCCTGGCTGAATTTGAAATTTATCAAGAGCTGCAAGAAGGTTCACAACCCGTGCGAAATCCCTAACCCGCACTGGGCTAGCGTGGCGGACGATGGCCTAAACCTTCGCCTGAAAGGAGGCCCGTGTCCAGCAGTAGGACGTAATAATGGGTTGATGATGATGATTGAATATTAAATAGGTAGGTAGTTTCCTGTGAGACATATTTGTGAAGTACTTAAGTAGACCGGCAATCTTAAAAGATGATTGGACGCTGAAAACTGATTCTACATCAAAAATATGAGAGATTTGTCATTATCCAATCGGTTTGTCTGTCTGCATCGACCCATAAATATATGTACGCCTCACTGCTGCTCTTTACGAAGGCGCACGAAAGCGAACCTGTTTGTGCATGAAAAATTTATAGATATTTTTAATAACTCACTGGGTTTACAATCTCAAACTATCTTCATCATCTGCAATATATCTACCTGTCTCCAAATTTCAGCAACCTGCTAACTTGAAGTCCATTCGCCAAGAAGACAACATACATATTGCAACCATCTCTTCTAGCTTCTCTTAAAGACTCCAGAGTGTTAAAATTTGGTGATAATAGGTCCTCGTGTTCTTCTACCACTATCTGTACAAGAAAAACCTGTAAGACCGTGGTAAACCACTCACAACATTTTATGCCTTTGGGGTGACCACAATCTGGTTGATCTTTGTTGGTAGGTATCAATCCATGTCAAGACTAAATTATAAATACGACAACAATGCATTGTGCCGCAATGCTGAGAGCGTTCTCGATGTACAAAACTTCCTGATACTTATTGAAGTTCTGTTCCATTGACCTCTAAATTAATGCTAGTTATTTCACACCAAGTCCGCGGAATGTAGCGGAAGAGCAGAAATTATGTCAGAGTGTAGTGAGTATGTTCAGGCTGTTCAATATTAACATCGCAGACGACTCCTTCCGCCTGCTGGGCGCATCCTCTCAATTCTATGACACGATCCCGGGATTCATAAGCGATCAATTAAACAATGTAGTCAAAACACCTAGAAAAACTTGTATGCAAATAGTTCAGGAACTGAGAGAATGGAGTGCAAATGACGAGGGTCATTTAGCAGTAGGTGGCTAAAGGCCGTAGAAGAAGGAGATGAATTTGTACGAAACTCACCATTACGAATGGCACAGACATCGTCTTTTTGAACAGCGCGCCTTCAAACACGTTCAAATAAATTGGATCGCATATTATTGCGACGCAGGTGAGCTCGTGGCGTCTAGTTAGGCTGTTTAGGAGATCCATTAGGACTAGTTCAAGGTCTTTTTTTTCCAATAAATCTTTCAGGACCGGTGTGAGATCTGATCTTGCGGGAGGTAGGAAGCTAAAATTAATATGAAATATTGCACACAATATTACAACGTTTTTTGGTATTAGGTAATATATTTACTATAGGATTTGGACTTGAGGATTAGCAGACTTAAGAAAAGGTGGAATTTCTCATTTCGACTGTATTTTTTTGTGTAACGCGATTACGGCATCTTTTTTGTTGGAAAGAGCGAGCCCCAGTAGTGGTCCTATTTTTATTTGAAGAAAATATTCCACATCTAAGGGCGGCAAACTAAGGGATGAATCCGGTTTCGCGCATTTTCCGTTAACCGATTTCTATAAAACTTGGCAAATAAATGTAATTCCAATAACAAAGCCGAACTTTTGAGGCCGGTTTTTTCATCAAAATTTTATTACGACAAACTAAATTGCAATCACGGATACCTAGGTATGTACGAAATCATGTGCATAACAATTAAAAAAAACGGTGAAAAACGTGTCTAGCTTCACATTCAAGATTTAAAGTCAATTGTATGCAGCTTTATGTGCTCTTAACTGTACCTTGACAAGATAGTATTATTATTATACTTACAAAGAAATAAAAAATATAGGAATCACTAAAACGTTGAACATTTTTTTAGACTTCTATTTTGTGTGTCGAAGGCACTGCGGTTAGTAAAATAAAATCAATTTAAACTAAAAGAAAATTCGTTGTAGGTATTCACTGCGCCCTTTCCACATAACGACAGAATGATTGACGGAAGTAATTTACTATTCAAATTCAATTACAAAATTCTTCTTTCACAAGAAGAAACTTACTTTGTAATAGACGGGCAGGGTTAATTGGGTGGAATAGAGGTCGTTCGGATGCTCACGCAAGCTTGCATTAGAAAAGTTCAGAACAACGAACAAGTAGGTCCTTTAGTTTCGACAATGAAATGCTTGAAATCCAAAGCTGGCTTCCCACGGCGCGGCCTGTAAAACTATGGATCGTCCGTGCCGGCGCAGGTTCTCCTGTAGAGCAGGGGCTCGTCAGATCCACCGTGTGTCACTTCAAAGGCGCGAGGCAACCTGCAGTAGACTTGTGCCTGATCGGTCCTTAGAGGGAGCGATCTTAGTTCAATCGGTCAACTGAACTAGGTCGGTCTTCTAGTTCATCTAGTTCCTTAGTTAGTTAGTTCGTCTTGTCCTTGCTCGGACATTGAACGAACGCTCCAAACTAGTAATTTTATTCACATGAACTACTACGGACTTCTAGTATTATGAGGTCAATAGTACACTGTACTAAATATTTAAAAATACAATTTGTATGGAATCGGTACCATTTGGTTTTCCTTCGTATTTTACTGGTTTAAAGACTGTCAATCTAACTAAATATCATACAAAATAACAATTTTAGTTAGAATGGTGTGTTTAAAAATCAATATTTAGGTACAACTATTTCATATAATCGTACACGTAGGTTCATATTATACATACAGATACCTAAAAAAAAATATTACTTTTTTGCTAGCTAGTATATGTATATAATGTAGATACGTATTAGAGACTTAGAACGAGCTGGCAAAGTTCAATCGTGCATCCCACTCAAACTTGCTCAAACTTGTACTAAAAGTAGTGAAAGATCGCTATTTGTCCCGCTCGCACCGTTCTTACTGTATAAAATACAGGTGAACTGTCAACGCAGACAGTTCCTAGTTCGTACTGAACTAAAAAGAACGATGAACTATTAAAACCGTGCCAGACGAACTAGTTCATGTCGATCAGTGTAGAGAATATATTCCTAATAGTTCGTAGTTCATTCACTATACAAGCCTAATCCGCAGCAACGCGCCGGAGCGTGCGTTTGGCGATCATTGCTTCGAGTGACAGCATTAGGTAATGTGACTGATTAATATGATGAGATAAAGCAAATTATATACGTTTAATTCAATAAAATCTTAAAACCTTATCTCGACCTGCTCTGGTTGAATGATAACATCCACCAGCGTCTTTTCTTCTGCTTTTTTTTTGTTAATCTTTGACTGAAACCCACTAAAACCCTTTAATTTTTAGTTGAAATGAATAAATAAATATTAAGATTTTCCTTGTGTTATTTGTATATTCTAATGAAGTATAGATTATAGCATATTTACACTTTATTTTCACTTATATGACTTAGGAGAATTGATATGATTGTCAATACAAAGATCGAACACTTAGAAAAAAATCCTTCGACCTAGGTTTCTTTCCTTTTCTAACGTACAAACTAGATACGAGCCAAAATCTTCCGCGGATTTCTCATGTATGCTCGCGCATTTACATATCGACTGTGAACTGGCAACCGGTACTATCTCAATTTTAACAACTTTACATTGACTTTACAGGTGAAGAAAAAAATTATCTGCGTCATTTTATAGCATCTGATTTAATAAATGAAAATACGTAGTTTTTAAATATTTTTATTTTATGTGTATATAATACACTACGTATTTTTATTAGATAAACCGAAAGGCTTAGAATAATAACGCATAGAATGATAGTTTCATATCAAACGAACTGTCACAAGTGAGGCAAAAATCAAATTCATGTAGGCTAGTTTTAGTAGTAGGTTAATTTTCGGTTTTAGTGAATATTTATATAAAAATACAAGTTGAAACGCGTTACTTCCTTGTGGAATGTGATGTTAGTATCTATTTTATGTTTGTCTGACGTATTTTTACACTCATTTACCGCACATTTCGTCATGTTTAGTTAAAATTCTAGATCTGTTTGCGGTGCAAGTTGACCTTGAGCACTGAAGGCCCGCCCGCTCGTGTAGGCCCTTTTGGCGCGCTTCAATTTGCCTCACTTAGCGTGTGCGGAGTAGGTTTCTCTGCGTTATTATTCTAAGCCAGATGGTATATAAATGACGCAATCAATTTTTTCCTTCACCGGTAAAGTCAATGTAGTTGTCAAATTTGAGATAGTACCGGTTGCCAGTTCCCAGTCGATATGCATTTTGTACCTATAAAATTGACCATAAAGTTTATTATGCTATGTACAATATAGTTACAAAAATTAGCTTCTATTCCGTTCCTCTGCAATATAAATGTTGCCTTTGTGTTAGATCTTTGTATTACTAATTATAATTCCCAATTTCACGGTTTTCCAAGTTGGAAAATTGACAAGTTTCCCAACCACTCTACAGAGCCTATAGTCACGGCTGGCGCAATGTTAATGGTTTGTTGAAAAAAAAAGATCTGAAAAAACAATTTTCATTTCCAACTTGAAAAACGTATCAAGTCCCCAACCCGCATGAGCCAGCGTGGTCGCAGGGGCTTTGAGGGCGAAGTAAACGTGACCGTCAGGATAGCTGGTCTGATACTTCTTCGTAAAATGTTCAATCGGTTATATTTTTTTAACTAATGTAGATAAGAAGCGTATACCTTTAATTCGTGAAGGTAGCAATTATTGTTAATACATACACACATCAGAAAAAGTTTGCGATCAATAGCATAAGCTCCTATAATTCTTTAAATTTAACTTTATCAAGACAAAATCTATGTTGTGTGCTTTCTTTAAATAGGAATACCCTGTTTGAAATTAAAATATAAAACTATTTTTTATTATTTATTTTAAAAAATTGAGCCATTAATCATAATGTAATAGTGATAGAAATTTCATAGAAAGAAAAAGACTGTTTAATTAAACTTAAACAACAATTTATTATTAAAAGGTGTGAATTCAATATAGAATAACTCCTCCCCTGGCTCGAATACATGCGAAGATCCTCCTGGGCATGCTGAGGATCAAGTTATCCAGCATTTCCTGGGGTAACCTCCCATTCTTCAATAGCGGCTTCCCTGAGCTCTGGAACTGTCTGGGGACGTGGCTCACGGTTCCATACTGCTCGTTTAAGAGCATCCCACGCGTGCTCTATTGGGTTTAAGTCGGGCGAGCCGGCAGGCCAGTCTAATCGTGTGATATCGTATTCTTGAAGAGCAGCATTGACTCGTTGAGCTCGATGTGCGGGCGCATTATCATCGACCAGTACAAATTGGTGCCCATGGTTTACTCGGAATGGTCTGACGATATCATCAATAGCAACTGCTTTGTACATGTCTGCTGTCATGAAGCCCCGATACGGGATCAAAGGCGTTCTAGCTCCAATCATAATGCCACCCCAAAAGGACACCGATTTTCCGCCTTGCTGAACTGTTCCAGTGGCAGTTCTTTGTCTTTCACGGTCGCCTGGTCTTCTCCAGACACGGACACGTCGGTTATCTGGATGAGTGCTGATTCGGGATTCGTCAACGAAGAGACAGTTTTGCCAAATGTTTTCGTCCTCACCTTCTTCATTTTGCCGAAGTCTAGCCCACTGCAATCTTCGTTGTTGACGTTGCCGAGAATTGAGCGGAGCTCGCCAAGACCTCCGTGCTCGTAATCCAGCCTGGTGCAAGCAATTGCGAACGGTCTGCGTGCTAACTTCAAGCCCAGAGGCGGCCCTGACTTCTGCTTTTATTTTAGTGGCGTTGATTGTTGGATCACGGGCTGCCAGCAATCTAATATAGCGCTTTTGGGCAGCTGTCAAAACAGTTGGGCGACCGCTGCGGGGTCGGTCAGCTAAATTCCCCATTCCGTGATACCTCTGCAAAGTAGCCACGACACAGGATTGGGATATAGCAAGTCTGCGTGCTATTACTCTCGTGGTGTATCCTTCTTCCCTCAAAGTTACTATTCTAGCTCGTAAAACCTCTGATAATCCTCTTGGCATTTTTTCAATCACAACTTTCCGCGAAAAATATCTTGAATCGCTTATAATTGACTAAATCAGATTTCTGAATGAGCGTAAGCTAGGACTGAAAGCCTTTTTATATGAAAAAGCAATTGAACGGGGTCATTGTTTTATGTTCTAATTTATTTTTTAATAAAGAATCTAAAAAGAAGAAAAAATCATAATATAATCTACAGTAACAAAAAAGATTTCAGTTTTTCGAAGTGATCGCAAACTTTTTTTGATGTGTGTACTACTGGAAAATCTGCTCGCTTCATGCTGAACAAAGTTGCGACCAGCCATCCTGACGTCAGAATGGCTGGTCACTTATTATTTTTTATTTCTCAGAATATATCAAAGGTAGCAATTATTTAGAAAAGGTTGCAAATAGTATCAAATACGTAGCAATTCTTGAATATACACTCAGTGCCAGATGCGACAGGCGACCAACCATCCTGACGGTCACAAGTAAACAGGCTATTGCCTCATGCACCCAAATTTCCGATCACTGAGGAAAATATAACTAGTATTCCTCTTCGATCGTGTGCCTACTAGACGGCGCCAGGATATTACTTTGCTGTACGCAACCCTTCGTGTACGAGCCCGAGACTCGCTTGAACGGATATCAATTAGTAAAATAATTAAACAAAAAAATATATAAAAAAAATATATTTTTATATAATTTATTACATCAAACACCAAGGTATTGAGTCATAATGCCCGCACCTACCTCTTTCAAGTTTATCCACTATAAAAAATAATAATATAACAATAACACCTCACTTTATTGTAGGAATGTACTTATAATAAAATTATGCTAACAATTTAGTCAAATTCCTAACTGATATGTTACCGCCTGCACCTTAAATTTTTTAACCAATCGAGTTTTTAGATTTTCGTGATTGTTACACATAGGAAATGAAACTATTTTTCCGGATTTAAATCGCGTTTATTTGTTTTTTTCAAACAAACCGATGTTTCGGGCCCTTTAAAGGTCCCATGATGACTACCACTTCAGTCAACCGTTTGAAAAAACAAATATACGCGAATTAAATCCGGAAAAATAGTTTCATTTTCTTTTTAACCAATTTAAAGAAATGGTTCGAAAATTCGTAAAGGTTGGTTACGACTGCCGCGGCGACACGTGGCACTACAATTAAACAAAGCGTTGATTTGCATAGAATCGTACTCATACACATCAACGCAGCGTATTAGGCTGTATTTGTAGTGCCTTACCTAGCTGTGTGTCATCATCAGTAGTCAGAATAGGCTGTGTTGCAATATAGGAAGAGTGATATAAAGTGGTTAAAATCTTAATTAAATTAAAGATTAATTAATTACTTTTTTAGACAACTTTACAGGATGAAGAAAATTGTTTGTGTAATTTACATAGCATCTAGTTTATGGTCAATTAATGCGATTGCGTGTGAATAAATGTGGTTAGTCCCTTAAAGGTGATTACCGACATCACACCCACGCACGCCCCGTACTAATTAATATTCTAAAGTCCGCCATAAACGTTTCTCGAGTTAGATAGTTTTCATATTACGCGCGTCTTTTCTCCTGTAAGAGTTCCTGTTTACAGTGTTTACTTTTGATTCTGTGAATGACTCTTGAGCCCAGTTTTCAATAATAAACACCCATCGTGCTTTTTATGTAGTCTGGTCAAAAAGTACCTTAACGTTACGATATATTAAATATACTCGCACACAATACACGCCACAAAGGCAAACTGACTAGATTGACAGAAATTCAAAATTAGACCGATTTTCTTTTGGACAATTTAATATGGGTTTTAAAATTAATATACATTTGTTCGTTCAAATTTATAAATGGAACCATTTACTATTCCCTTGTTTTAATATAAACCTTACAACAATGTATAGGCATTATTATGTACAGACGGCAAAAAATATTAGTTTTTGTATCAAGGAAGAATTATATCAGTCTTATAACCAGCCCGACTTTACATACGAGAACAGTAGAGGGATGTGTCACACGCGTTCATACGGAAATAATTATCAATAATAATTATCAATATGAACTTCTATCTGTGGTACGTCTTTTTTGAAGATGGGAGTAAAATGACAGTTCATTTCGCAAGTGTTGCCCGCTTGCAAGCAGCTAGTGATTGCAGTCGATAAATATTTTATCGACTATGGACTGAATGGTCACGCTTGTGCAATAAAAAGACGAATATGTTTCATTTATTCGTTCTTTCAATTCGTTCGTCCAAATGCTGGGTACAGGTTCAATTGAATGGTTACCTTCTGAAAATACAAACAGTAGACTTATTTCAAAGTTTTTCATTTGAATTTAATACATAATCAAATCCGATTGTTTTTATTAAAATGTGCATGACTTAAATTTTATTTCGACACTAACACACCAACAGTCAAAATAAGAATAAAAAAGCAATTAGAACGTCCTAACATTCACAATTCAAACATTTTTAACAATCTATCGATAAAATTGACGATAACTACATCACTATTTAAAATTTTACGAAAACTAGCAACCATCCAATAAATGTCACTTTACTCCATCTTCAAAAAAGACAGCCTGTAACAATATAATAATTTGTATATAAAATAATTTAACATGTAAATAATAATGTATTGTGTAATAATATACTTTCCTTTCACCTATACACTAAAGGACCGTTTACACGGTCGACCTTCATCACGAGTAAATTAGCGCAAATCGACTACGCTTTATATCAGCATGTGTATTGTGTAATAGAAAAGGGTACAGAACGAGTGGGTTGCAGGAGTTTTACTTTTCTTGCGCAAGATTACTTGCGGTAAAGTTCGACCGTGTAGACGGGTATTTATGTATTTATTAAGTTTTTTAAACTTAAGTTGTATATAGTAATTGATTATTGTCTTAGACTTGCATAATGTAAATAGATCAACGATATGTAAAATTATAAAAATTCAACCATTATGTTTGTTCTTAGTTGATAAAAGTTTAACGTAATATAACCGTCACCATGTACAAGCTTGAAAATTTGTTAGCGCTTAATTTTTATTTATAGTTTGGAAGGCACGTAGGTATCCCAGAAAACTACGTCTCGCCACCACTCAGGTCGTTCCAAGGCTCCTGGGTACATCATGAAGCTGTTCTGAATGTGTTTGTAGGCCTGAAACAATACAATACCACAGATGTAATAATACTAAAGTCTGTTTCAATCCATTTTGGTTAAAATTCTAAAGCAGTCACTTAATAAATCGAATACGTAACACTTTCCCGCATATTTAGAAGATTTCGACTTGATATCTCATCACTTTTTTCAACAATATTAATTTGAATGGCATCGTAAGATCGTATTTGAAAAATGGTAGTCCAAAAGTGAGGTTATTTTTCAACTATACAACTATTACTTGTCTATGGTTGCATAGTGGTGTATGGAGAAAAACATTCGGTTCATTCAATTAAAGTTTTTTTTTTTTTTTTTTAATTTCAATCGCAATCGAACGAGTATGTAAGTGTAAGGATTTGAAGGAGGATTTAAAATGAACATTTCGGAAATTTTAAATATGCTTTTATAGGTTATGGAAGGAAAACCGCTAGTTTTTAGTTGGCATTACTAAACCGTCTATGGTCGGGCGAGTGACTTCTTTGTTTCCTTTTTTGTTCAAAATGGATAGAAACGAAGTATAAGTATAGATACCCGATCTCTTATAAAGAAATGTCGTTCTTGTAACTCTGCTTATTCGGACCCTTATTTTGATTCTTAGTGGTGATCAATAGATGGTATCAAGCAAAACCACAATACGATTGTAATAATATTCAGAACGGCCAACAGATGGCAGCCATTTCATTTTTGACAGGTTATTGCTCTTGTTCAGGTTCAAAGAAGCTGAGTCTGTACTTGTAATATTTTAAAGTAAAAGTCAGCGTTGAAACGTTGCCATTAGTACAATTTTATCGAAATAAATCAAAAAGTCTTCCATTGAGAAAGAAATTGACTTGTTACCCTTTGAACGGCAGTTTACTGTTTACACCAATAGCGTAATTGCAGAGAATTTCAAAATAGTATTTTATGCAATTGTTGCATAATGAGTAGCCTAAATAATAGGTACGAGATGTTTAAACCTAATTATGTAATGATTGTATACAATACTTTTTCTTTGAGTAAATAAAATTATGAAACAGAACCAATATTTAATGTACATTTCTTTAAGAAAAACAAAAAACAAAAAAACAAAGAGATAGAACTGGTTCAGTACCGCATATATTTTATCCGCAAATTTAACCAATTAGGAGGCAGTAAAGTGATTGAGTGGCATCCTAATTGATATTTTAATTAGCAAAAATACGATGTTCTTTTTTGCAACTCATGATGGTTCTGTGTAAACCATAAACAATACAATTTTGATTCGTAACTGAAAAGAGCTCCTTTATGATATGGTTTATGAAATTATAATTGACAGATTAAAGTACCTACAAGAGTAGAAAAAAATATTTTTGTGTTACGTATCACTTTTCCTCACCTCCCCGTCGGCCATGCCTAGAACGCTCTTCAGGCACCAGTCGGGTGGCGCCAGCGTGTCCACCAGCGCCACGGCGTCAGGCGCCACAAACGCGCACAGCTGCAGGATGCCTTCGCGGAGGAGCAGGCCTTGCTCGTTGCTGAAGAAGCCGCCCTGTGCCACCACTGTTTGTGTACTCCGTTCACGTCTCATGCATTTAGTTAAACTCGATAAGAACTGCTTCTCGTTCACTAGATGGCGCTGCTATACTATTCAATCGATCTTTAGTTTTTTTTATGATACTAAGCGGCGGGACAAGCAAGGCATATCACTTATACACCGTAACAGTTGCAGTGCCACTCAGAGCTTTAAATCGCAAAGATCTTAAGGGCACTGCCATTGCGCCCGTCACCCTGAGACATAAGTTAACAAGTCCAGTGTCCCGTGGCCTGTAATTTCACCAGCACCCTTACCCTTCAAAACCGGAACGCAGTAATGCTCACGTTACTGCTTGGCGGCAGAAATAGGTAAGATGGCAGTACTTCCTTGGACGAACTCTTTCATAAGGTGCTCTACTGCTACTAAGTTTCTTTAATAAAAGTTGTGATGGTTTTCTTATAATCGTAAAAATGTTCTAAAGGGAATGAGCGGTAAATCATGCTATTTATTTCAAAGAAGGGTTCTTTGTCTTGTTCTTATTACACATTATACCTTAACGTTTTCCAGCAATTATATACTTACAATGTACAATGTAGCCAAATGCTTCTCCAATATGAAAGCACCGTACAGAGATACTAATTTCAATAGAACTTTTCTGCACGCTGCGTCTTCGAAAGCAAGCGCAGTCTTGTAAAAGTGGTTCAGAATGTAATTCTGGAAAATTAAACAAGTAGATTGTGTCAAAATATAGCAAAATAGTTTATTTACTGGTAGCAGGCTATATTGGATAAATGTATTTATTGTTATTGTTAAAGGGTTCTGATTTTAAAGTACAATCACGAGGTAAGTGCTGTTCAATATAACGTCTGAGACGGATGTTTGCTCCCGTGTGGAGCACTATACTTTTAGTTCAAATTTGGACTCAAAGTGAAGTAAAATGTATTGCCAACCTAGCAATGTAACTTTTTGCATTAAAAAATTGAAAAAAAAAACACAGCGTGCTTGTATTTTGGACACTAACTGTAATTATTTTACTTTATGAATGCTGAATGAAACTATTTTTCCGGATTTATATCGCGTATATATGTTTCTTCAAACAAACCAACGTCTCGGTTCCTTTACAGGTCCCATGGTCACGGTTGACTGGGACATGGTACCCGATCCGTTAGTTTGTTTAAAAAAACAAATATACGCGACTTCAATCCGGAAACATAGTTTCATTTCCCATGAGTAACAATCGCGAAAACCTAAGATTTCGATATTTATGAGTACTGTTAACATGTATATCCAATTTAATGACCACTTAACACTCAACAACAACAAAGAGTTTGTTGCACTGCACTGAATTCAATGAGTTCATTAACGAATTTTCCGAACATCAGTGAGTATTGTCGATTTATTTTGAGCCATTTATGTATTAAAAACGTTGACTTACAAATAAATGGACGACGGGTCTAATATAAAAACCACGAAAAAAATGTCCCAAGTCAACCTATTTAAACGTAGTGACATGTAAAGGAACATGAAAAAGCTAAGACGTTGAATTTAAATTGTAATGTCATCGCAGTACTGTCTAATTTTGCTTGCTTCGCTGTCAGTCGAACAAACGAAGACTAAAGCGTGAATGACGCTCTGTATACGATTTTAACGCCCTATAAGTTCAGACACTTTTTAGCGCGGACCCGACGTCCATATAATTGTAAGTCAATGATTAAAAATAATATTATCAGAAGAGATACGGGCCACCCTATAACTTTATTTTATTAAAAAGATTTGTTCGCTTAAAAACTGTTTTTAAGATACTACGCAGACCTTTAGCGGTCATCCTGTAGATTAACTCCAATTATTGGTAACTGTTCTCACATTTCATGAGCTCAAGTTTTACGTTACAAAGCAAGGGTGTAGTATATCACTTACTTCTCCATAGACAACAGAGAGAGTGACAGCGTTGAAAGATTGGGACTCGTTCTTCGCCTCGAAGTTGCTCTTGCCCTGGTTTTTGAGCTTGGACACCTTCTCGAAGGTCATCTTTAGCATGTACGCCGTCAGCCATTTATACATGTGGATTAGATCTGTGAAAAAGTAAGAAAACTCCGTGAAAAGTTTACCGTAATTATGAATTTGATAAATTTGTTACTTTATCCGGACTGTAATACTAGATTACAGTTGGTGCATTCGACAAATCGAGGCTTAAGATGGCGTGAATTTATCACATGGACCGGGCACTATGAACAATTCCTTGCTTCTCGCGGGCAATAACCTAATCCAATCAAAATACTACAGATCATATATTTTATTATTACTTCGACTAAGACAATGTAGTCTTTATTCGTACTGACCGGGAAAAGTGACTAATTATGCAGTTTTTATTGCATACAACCATTATCCAGCGACAGAAAACTGAGAATGTAAAACTGAGAATGTTTTTTCGTCGCGTATCTGTGATTTTATCTAGAAAGCGACAAGAACAAATTTTACCTTCCAAGCATTGACTTACAAATAAATGGACGACGGGTCTAATACAAAAACCACGAAAAAAATGTCCCAAGTCAACCTATTTAAACGTAGTGACATGTAAAGGAATATGAAAAAGCTAAAACGTTGAATTTAAATTGTAATGTCATCGCAGTACTGTCTAATTTTGCTTGCTTCGCTGTCAGAAGAAACAAACCAAGACTAAAGCGTGAATGACGCTCTGTATACGATTTTAACGCCCTATAAGTTCGGACACTTTTTAGCGCGGACCCAACGTCCATATTAAGTCAATGCTTCCAAGCAAAAATTGTTTCAATGATTGGTTAAGAGTCGAGTGTTACCTCAGCTCGAATTCTAATTTTTTCCCGTACTAATACGGTTCATTTTGCTTGCAGGGAGACTCCAGGGAAATTACACCCATTTGAAAAATTATTGGTATATCTAAAGTACCTATTGAACGGTTTTCTTGTAATATTTACAGGTAAGTTTGCATTATATTTTGTTTGAGTGTTTTCACACCGTGAAAGTAATCGATGTATGTCCTCAATTTTACAATATTTTTTTTAAAGTGATTGATTCTATAACTGCCTCTGTGGCCGAAGGGTGCCATGCAGAGGTTCTAGGTTCGATTCCCGGGCCGGGAGAAATGTTAGTATGGCCTACATTTATTTATCTCCCAAACTCATTTGGGTGCAATTTGTGGTAGTCTATGTGTGTCCATGGCACTTGCGACTCAGGGTTTCCCTAGTGCTGGCCTATGTTGAGTGTGTGAGTTATTATAAAAAAAAACCTACTTTCACTGTTATGCGGTATGCGGTATTAACCAAAGACATTTGAGGTTCACTGAAAAAATATTTTTTTTTTTATAGCTGACTATATACTCTTAGCAGCGTCTATTGCCACACCGGCGCCACCGCACCGGAGTCAGCAGATCTTACGAATTTCTTTATGTGCTTTGCAATCTATGTATTGGGTTCAAACGGCGTTTTGCCGTCAGCGTCATTTTTTATTTGTCGTCCTTTCTACGAAATACACTTTCTGTTTGCGATACCAAATGACCACTTTAAATATACGTATAAAAACTGGTGTCTGTGATAAAATTCTAGGAATCGCGGGTTTGTTGGTCCAACGTAGTGGACAAAGAGCTTACATTCTCTCCTCGAAATAGACCCGTACCGGTAAGTAAATGCTAAATAATTTAAAGAAAAATCTTACTCTTTGGCTCAACAATATCTTTAACTGAATTCCATTTGCACTTTTCTGCAAGCAATTGGTCCACATTGTTCAAAAACTCCAAAGACCCCAGTGGCGCATCCTCACTTGTGATCTTGTGTCTTCGCGGCCACACGCTGAGTAACCAGTTACTCGCCTGTTGTAGTAGCAAACTGTTCTCTCCTTCATATGTACAGTTTGCGTCATTGTCGTTGCGAATATCACCTATTGCCGCCGCTACAATAAGAAAAAATATTAGTTTAGTCAACTATCTATGGTATAATTTTCACAAATTCGTACGTACAAGGACCCATTGTAGACCTTGTGATGCCATCGTAAACTAAAAATAGCTTTGGACCCAGTAATGTCCCTTGTAGGACGCTTGTGCACTAGTAGCATTAATTTTGGACTTAACTAGCCCCCTGGAGTACACGTGTACTATTAAGGATTGAACCCGGTTTAACGGCATCGTAGCATATAAATCACACGTTTAGGCTTCACAAGTAAGGGCGGAGTACCGACAAGTAAGGGCGGAGTACCGACAAGTTCAATGTAGGGTGGTTAACCCTAAGAAAAGCTTTGGACTCAGGAGCTCTATTCTCGAAGCACGAAATCCGTAGTTACGGCCGTTTTCCCACTATTGACCTGATTGATGACCTACGGGATTACTCTCGAAGTTCGTCACTGAAAAAAGGTACCCGTACCAAAAACTGTCACATTAACAAATAGTTCTGGACTCAGTATAGACCCCAGTGGAACGCCTTAGCACTAGAATACCTTTCAAGTAGCCGTGTCCGCCGCAGGCCTCCCTGCAGTTCTGAATGCCGTCGCGCGCCATCCACCCAGATATGGGTTTGGCTGCTGACGACAGAGCGTGGATCTCCATGCCTTTAGCTGCCGCTGTATTGTCGTCTACGCCTGGAAAATAGCAAAACGTACAAGACCTCAGATAGACGAACAAAATAAAGCATATTTGACATTGTTATGGCAACTTGAATAGGTACTGCCCATAGCGGTCACAAGACGAGCTAATATTAACACAAGAATTTTGACGGAACAGCATGGGCTAATGCAGTTAATTTTTTCAAATTAAATCTGAAAACATCGATGACTCGGTCATTAAGTACTCTGAATATTACGTGAGATGTGTCGGTAGAACCATTAAAAGAGACAAACTGTTTTAAAAAGATAGAAATTGAACTTAAACTTAAAACCTCATCACCTCTATATTTATAATGGATATAATGCTTACCCATCATTCGGTTGATGGTCATACTGATGTGCGTGACGCCGAACCAGTTGCTGAAGATGCGCAGTGCGTAGGTCGCTGCCAAGTATGGCAGCAGGCGGATTTGCTAAAATTAAAACATGATTTATTTATTTATTTTATTCGGACATTTACGTCAGGTTACATGGCCCGTTATAATATATTCCTTAAGGACTAAAATTCATACAATACAATATGACAATAAAATTAACTAAACAACTAATCTACACGTATTGCACTTGTCCACGACGTGTGGCGCAATCTGGTGTCAGGTAACCGACCGCGGAATCGCCGATATATGACACCTTTCGGCCAAAACTCTTCATGATGGACCTCGTGTGCTTCACTTGGGTGCTTGTACTAGTTTCTTCGTTTTCGTTTAGGATGTACGCTGGTTTGAGACGGTCAATGGAGATGACAGTTTGACGATCTGGTAGCTGTATTGTGTACATCTTGTCACTCCTTTTTAGTACCGAGGGTAACATATCACAAACTCGACGCTTTTTCCGAAATGACCTTTGTTCGAATTTTCATTACACTGAAAACCGAATTATAACGAAGATGTTGTTCTTTCAGGATATGTTGAATGTTTATCGCACAGGCACGATTAGTTTAAAAGAAAAAACATTTTCCTCTCAAAATTACTTTCGAGGTTATGGAAATTCGAGCAAACGTTTTATTTCTGGAAAATGTCATTTCAGACTACTGATAGGTAACCAGTACCGGGTACGGCCCGTCGTAAAGGTCATAACACATTTAAGAGCTTTCAAAGGAGCTTCTGTATTTTTTTTATGATGCCAAGTGACGGTTGCAACGCCACTCAGAGCTTTAAGTCGCAAAGACCAGTCGGGTACTGCCATTGCGCTCGTCACCCTGAGACAAGTTGTCAAGTGTTGTTGACAAGTCCCATGTGCCTGTAATATCACCAGCACCCTTCCCCTTCGAAACTGGATCGCAGTAATGGTCACATTACTGCTTGGCAGCAGATATAGGTAAGGAGGCAGTACTTCCCTGGACGAACTCTTTCACAAGGCGTTCTACTGCTACTATACTAGTAGAACTAGATATATAAATACGATTTAATAATGATATGAAACCCCACCATAGATAATATTACAAGTGCGACTATAATTTTTGATTTTCGAGGTTTGGCGCGAGATTATTGACAAGACCATAACGTATAAAGCGAAAATGACGGACTGAGCTCAAGTTTGCGGAACTCCGCGACCTGTTGACACACGTGCGATGCAAACTAAGCACTTCTACTGTATTTATTGTTCTGCGACGGCGAGGATATGTGGATTTTATTGTGTACGTATGTTACCTGTTGCTGGTACTCCAGTACTGGCACTTCCTCACCGCCGTCGGGGCCGAACTGCTTCCTGACACCAGAGTATCTAATCGCTATGACGATAGCCTTCTGTAGATAGTTCGCTGATATGCTCGTTATGTGAACGCGACCACCTGCAATTAATTGTTGTAGGAGAATTGAGTAATATTGCAATTTACTCCTTAATTAAGGAGTCATTGACGCAAGCGCGTCCTCAATCAATTAGAGTATATACAGGGTGTAATCGTTCAGTTCAGGCGATTATTCCGTAAATATATTCTATAAGACATATCAAAAATGTTTAAACTGACATCGAAAATACGTTGCCTAATGAGTAAAACGACATAAATGACTTTTTTTTAATTGTTAATACAGGCTGTATATGAAATTGAGACATTCATGCATGTCATAGTAAATCATGTTACAACTTAACATAGACTAAAATAAAATTAGCATATGGGATAGAACAAAAAATAAATAAACAAATTTGTTTTGGAGTGTACATAGGAATAAACCGATTCCCTGTACGCTTGATTTCGAGTGCATTGGGAATACTACCAAGCGAGCGCCGAGTGAGACTGCAACAATAACAATGATTTCACATCTCTCTCTCTAACCTACTCATTTATGTTATGATGAAAATGCTGTTATCGAAATGATTACGTTTTAGCTTATGTTAATTATTTTTTACTTATGAACTATCATCGAAATGTTTTACGTACTAAAAAATATAATTAAGTTATCATTTAATAAGAATTGAGGTTTTTGGCGTAGTTAAAAATATGAAATCAAATTATTTACAATGATTGATTTTTTAGTTATTTACACTTACGTGGTACGGAGCAAGTGTTCAAAATGTCCACCGTTTTCCATAATGTATAGTCTAGCACGTCGTAGTAAATTTTGTTTTAAATTGATCAACTCAAACACATTTTGTCTCACAGTATAAATTGCTGACATAATCCTCTCATGGAACAACTTCGACACTGTTCACCTCCTCCGCGTAAACTCCAATTTGAGAACATTTCAATAGCTCGCCTCACACTATCACCACTTATTGCGTAAAGTCGCACCATCTCAGTCAATTCGACGTTAGAAAAAATATCTATTTTGCAGGCGAGAGGCGCGTTCGCCGCCGGCGCAGGGTTCGGGCGAGCGGAAGTATAAATAATTTACGTGTCTTCGCTAGGCCAAGGTCGCGCGTGCACTGTCTCGGCAAACAGTGCCGACCTGTGCTTTGTTCTCACTGCTGCGTCCGTCGGAGCAATAATAGTGGTGTGCATAGATTTCGATAAGTAATGTTGTTCACAAGTAGTAGTCGATAAAAAAATATTTTTTGTAACGTTTAACTTCATTAACTTATTATTTTTTTGGGTTCAGAATCAGGAATATACCGCACTCTATAAGTATATCTCACTTTCAAATATAAGGCCTGTAAATTTAACTTAAATAAGAAATAATACCTTCAAACTTAAACTCACCAGACAAAACGCCAAGCGAAGCGCCAAATCTCTTACTGGGATCCCTGAACGGCGTCTTGTAGTCACCATTATCATCCACACCACCGAACTTGTCCAACGCGGCTTCCTTCTGCAGGTGGTAGTTGTTGAACATAACAAAACTGAAAAAGTCAACATCATCAATCCACCCCTGGACATGACGAGCGGGATTAGGTCATAGTTCGTCATCCTGGCCCATTGCGGGTTGGGGGACTTTTTTTTGTGAAACCAGACCAGAGTGGTAGGTGAAACGCAAACCGGAATGCAGTAATGCTCACATTACTGCTTGGCGACAGAAATAGGTAAGGTAGCTGTACTTCCCTGGACGAAATCTTTTTCCAAGAAGCTCTACTGCTACTGAATATCATGGTGTCAACAAACGTATAGCGCTGAGGCTCCATCCTTTTTATCAGTCTAGATTCTACAATATTCTAACTGTATCTGTATTTACCGGTTTTCTTGTAAATAACACAGTCATATTTTTGAAGATAGAAAGATAAATTATCCTCTTACCCATTATCAACCCCATTCAGTCCAACCTTCTCGCCAATGTCCCCGACAATGACGCCAGGGTACGCCTTCAGAGTCTTGGGATCCCTTATTGGCACGACGAAGGCGTGAAGACCGTGATTTATGCCCTTCGATATCAACATTGCGTAGATTATTGCGTGCGTAGCGCATTTTCCTTGAATATTTAAAAAAAATCTTTAAATAAATGGCAACTGTTTGGATACCCAAATTTTGTAACTTATACTGTTGTTAACCGACTTCCAAAAAAGGAGGATGTTCTCAATTCGACTGAATGTTTATTTTGTATGTATGTTACGCGATAACTCCGGTATTTGTGAACCGATTTTCATGATTATTTTTTTGTTGGAAAGAGGGTACCTCCATAGTGGTCCCATTTCATTTTGAAGAAAATCATTCACCTCTAAGGGCAGCTGATCACGCATGAACGTTCATTTTTATAAATAGCGCCTAAATTTTACTTAAGGAGCAATTATTTTAATGGTTGGTATTGCTATTCTCCAATTCAAGCTTTTCTCTCTCAATATACTTTGAATAGTGAGAACCGATTTTTATTATCTCCTGTGGCAAGTCCTGTATAGTGGCGAACTAGGGGATATTTCAATAAAACTTGGCAAATAAATGTAATTCCACGTAAATTTGAGGTCGGTCTTTTTAGTACTCTGTACTGAGATTATTATAAATTGATCGAATTAGCTGAAAGAAAAAATCTTACCATCAAGCGCGCGACTTGTTCGTCCTACACGGTTACTTACAACATTAAACTTTGATTTGCTGCATTGACATGGTCTAGTTTTAGTTTTATTTTGTTGTAATAAGATGTACTAGTTTTAGTTATTTTGTTGATGTGGTATTTTTAAGATAGTTAATTACCAACTGCTAAACAATAAACCAATAACATTTAACATTAACATATTCAAAACGTTTACAACGCTTTATTTTACATTTTCATTTATAATTAAACAAGATTACTTTTAAACTTATAACATCTTTAATTCCAACCACTACTCCGAAAACACCCTCGTGATAACGGTTACCGCGTCGCGATCACGAGGTAACATCCTGCAAGGACAGAGTCGCTATTCTGCCCTTACGCGTCCCGTCGCTTGATATTATAAAAAAGTACACATAATATGGAGAATTCTTTAGTTTGAAAGTAGGTAATACCAAAGTCTTACCCAGACATCCCACCCAGCACTTGGCCGCTTCAAAATCAGGAGTATGCAGTACAAACTGCCGTTTCTCAGGAATATAAGTGGCGGTTGTCCGCATTCCCTTTGCATTGGATCCATGTGACACTTCTGTTAGGGCAAAACAACCTCCTATTTTTGCTTTTTGTGCGTCGTCTGAAACACATCGATAGAGTTAGTTGAAGGATCTTTTTTAAATTACAATGTGTCACTATTATAACACTTAATGGTGCTTTCAAATTAAACGCTGTTATAGCGGGCTTTTCACACACACTCTATCGTGAGTGATACATCAATCGTACGCGATTTAGAATATAAAGATGTTGAAAGGAAAACACGCGCCAGTTTCACGCGGTCTATCCTGCGCCAGAGAACAAAAAGTAACGAGAATGGACACTCTCCGCCCCTCCCTAGCTTTAGATACCGCACCGCGTCCCGCACATTGACTGAACGGCAACAAGGCTGTCAGCGAGCAGATTTCACTCTTAAAAAAACTTATGTCTGAGACTCATTCAGTTATTGTTTTCTTCATTTATTTAGTGCAAAGTAATATATAACACAGATTTATTCTATCAATTTAATGACACGCCATAAGTTCGTAAGTTGATAGAGAAGGGTTCTCGAATTTTCAATTTGTATTGGCAATAACAAGCAGTGAATATATCTAATATATCTTTTTTTTTTTATTAACTAGGTAATGATAAACTTGGACACGCAATTTTAAACGCCTTAGTTACCTCATTTAAAAGTATATCTCCAAAAGATAACGTTTTAAGTGTTTTTAATACATTTTTAAAATAAATGTTATAATATTATTCTAGTTAGTGAACTAATGAAAAATATAAAATTATATCGATATAAATATCTAATGTGTAAATGAACATGTGTAATTATTAGGATTCTATTAATAGAATTATAGATACGTTTCGCGTTAGAATTTTCGCTATGTTGCCGCTCTAACCATGTAACGTAAATAGTACGAGGAAGTGATGGGTAACACTGCCACTACACGCACATATTTGCGCGTGTGCATATAGCGCCTTGCTGTATGTAGCAGTAGGTAAATAACTTTCGACTGTCGTATGGAGATTCCGGGGTGTGCCTGCGCTTTTACACGGACACTCTTTTCGTTGTTGGGTCGTTTTCAGATAACCTCAAAAAATGTGTCACTTTCAATAACTTTATGTTATTACATGAATGCTAAGTATTATGTATTTAATATGATTGCTTGCTTAGTTAGACTGTGTTACACATAAAAAGGCTACTTTACTACGTCACAGTAATAAATGAAAATTAAAAAAGTAGGTAATTTCTCATTCATGGTCTGTTCCTCGTCGCCCTAATTTTAAAAAAAAGAAGAAAAAAATTAAACGCATGTGGAAATCGAAATATTTCCCGTCGAAAATAAACTCTAATAACTTTCACGTCGAATACATACCGTAACTTTCCAATTTATTATAAACAAATATGTTTTCTTGGGAATACAAAATGGGTTTAAAATTTTCTTCTCATTAGTGTGAATTCAACTAAATGCCTCCTAATAATAATAGATCATTCCGCATCACCTTCACCCTTCACAGTGAAGACGTCAGACAGAGAGCCGACTTAAATACCAATTTCAGCGCTAGTGACTTAAGAGGGAGCAGAGGAAAAATTCCTAGTCTTCGATTTGATTTTAGAGGGGTATATCCACTTTAAAATTAAAAATAAAATATTGTATGAGTAACTACACGATATATTCAAGCATAGACATTAATCAGAAACATAAAACAATAAAGTTTTGTCGATAGATAAAAATCACGAAATGACTTCTAATTTTCACATTTTTTCGATTCATCCTCGAAATGCTACAGATTATTAGGACAAATAAAAAAATTAGATAATTAATTATATTTATGCATGATCGAGAACTGTCACTAAGGATTTTTTTTAATCCCTTTAGATTTAGAGTCATTCCGCTTAAACGAATTAGGTACTTTTAATGCGCAAAATTCAACATCTCCTGTCGCATGTCACGCGAACTTCAGGCATATATTTGTTTCACAAATTTGGGCGGAGCCAACGTCAAAATTTTTTTGGCATGTGAGCTCTTAATCGTTCTCATTCAAAGAACGTTAGCTTCAAAAATATCAAACAGATAAGCAATCCTGTAATCTCTCTAAGTTTTGTCTGTGCAAAGGGGGCTATTGCGAAAAAGCATTAAGCTAAAATCTTCTGTTGACTTTTCCGTTTCTATTTTAGCTTCGTCAATTTTCGCCACTTTTGACAAGTGAACTAAATATTGCTGAAGCGCTACAGACGCTTTTACAATTTTTTTTAACTCTCTCCGTGGCCGAATGGTGACCACGCTGGTCTGCATTCTGTGAAATATTTGAATAGCCTACATTTATTTCTCATGTGAGTTTGGGAAAAATTTATGGTTGTCTATGTGTTTGTCCATGGTCCATCCCGCGACGCAGGGTTTGCCTGAGTGGGGTGGTATACCCCAAATAATATATAATAATAAATACCACAGATCCCAACTGGCGGGAATCCTAAAGTTTCATTTCATTTTTACTATTGTCATCGAACCAGCGTGTGTGCCAGAGTGTAAAAACTTCCATATTTTGCCAGTGTCTGCTTAGCAAGTACTACATAAGTGGGGGATTTGTGGAATGAAATTAAATCAAAGTTTAAGATTCGCCACTGGTGAGGATTTTTTAGTGGGGATTTGTGGAACATACATGCGGGGATATGAGAATGTGCCTTATTATTTTATTTTACAAGCATCTAATTAGAAGGTGCCCTAAGAAATGAAACTATTTTTGGATCTAAATCGCGTATAGTTGTTTTTTTTCAAACAAATCAACGTTTCGGGCTTTTTTTTAGGTCCCATAGTCACGGTTGCCTGAAATTTTTTTTTAGCGCCGCTCTAGGGAATCCCAGTGTCGAGGGTGTTATGGACACACACACACATAGTCAACCACAAATTACGCCCAAACTCATAAGAGAAATTGATGCAGGCCATACAAATATTTCTCTCGGCTCGGGAATCGAACCCGATACCTCTTTCGTGGCAGTCCAGCATGATGACCGTTCGGCCACGGAGGCAGTTAAATCTCTTCATATCGTTTAGCGAAGAGAAAACGAAAGGAACTTCGCGCCAATTAATATATTGATTTTAAGACTTTCGTGGTTATTCACTAAATGATTATCACTAGTATCAGGTTTCTTACCACGGTATGACTTCTTTTTATTTTCCCGATATTTCGGAACGGTTGCACGCTCCATGGTCACGGGTTGACTGATGACAATCATTTAATTAATATATTATTATAGTTTGCTACGTGCTGGGTGCTCAGGTAACCAAAACTTTTACTATACTCTTTTCACCTTTCCCTTGGGAGCATGTACGGTTTACGTACAAGATTATTTTTGATTTGAACCTGCAGTTTACGTATGGCGTGACGAACTAACTTAGTTTAGTTGGAGTTATTAATTACGCAGTCGCGATTGGTCCCATTACCATCCACTATAATATACGTTTAAATTTTTTACGCTCGTGATTGTGTGTCAGCGGACCCAAATCAGCTACAGCTTTCAACTAACTTAACCAACTATAATCAAAACGTTCAAGGCCATACACACTTCACATCTTCAGCTGAAGCTCGTGTGAAACTCGTTCAGTTATCCAAGACAGTCAGCGAGAATTGCATGAACAGTGTCCGAAATCAAATTAGTATTTTTTTTTATTGTGACTTGCGTATTTATTTGACACGAATTTCACGCGCTACGCCACGCGACGCACCTCTCGCGTGGCTACCGCGTGCAGGTGTTTAATAACCAAATTGTTATAGCAAAATAAGCTCTATTCATTTAGAATTTACGTTTTAACTTAAATGAGCAAACAAATCGCCATCGCGCGATTATATTATTCCCAGGAATTTAAACGTTGAAATAGAATTTAGATTCGCCATTAATGCACGTGAAAGCGTGGTAGGCGGCTACCGCGCGATAGCCACACGAAAACTTTCGCGTCGTGTAACTGGGCGTAGGGACAGATGCACACACATACATACACGTTTTCATCTTTATGTACATGCATATAATACATACGTTGCTAAAATAATCCCCTTTTGGGGTAGGAAACAAACAAAAGACAAATACAGTACATCATAGAACATCACAGACACGCAGCATCATACCAACATAATGTAAGTGCAGATCTCGGCCATTTCCCTGGATTGTATTCTTAAACATTCCAAATGTCAGGGAAATTTTGACAGCTAGCGAACTATCAAACATGAACAACCCTTCTGTCTGAGCTTGCACTATAGTCGGCTCTTCCAAAATCTGTAATATGATCAATAAATTCTACTGTCAAAAACTGTGAAATACTACCTATGAAATGATAGTGATGTTCCGCACCACTGCCCAAAATTGTGTTGAAGAACATACGGAAAGATAATGACACTTTGACAGCCAATGAACTGTCAAACATAAAAGTGGCTTCCGTGTCTGCATCCAACAACTCTGGCCCATTTAATAGCTGCAAAACATTTTTATTTATAGAATATTTCGTAAAGTAACAGATGCAAGTTTCCACCACCGGATTCATACTAATGAAATTATGCAGCTATAGCATTGCGCCAGACACCCCCGTTTTTGACACATGGTAAAACCAAACATAAAAAAAAATTCGTAAATTAGTTCAGGATCGGACGTATAGATCTATAGCATAATTTCCCAAAGTTGTCCCTACTGCCCCCATGTGGGTGCTGAAGATTCCTAACGGGGCGGTAGGGATCTCGGAAACAATTGGTGGGCGTTGATATTGTCCAGGGGTTGCTACCATTTGAAAAACAAAACTTATCTATATAAACTACACTACGTACACATATGTATATAAAATGTTTTTCTTTGTGATTTTAATGTTAAGTTATTACAAAAAGTACGTGTTTCCAATTATTTTTTGTGGTAATTGACGTTGAAATTTTTTATCTTACCAAAAAGTTTGGGAACCTATGATCTAGGGGGTCAGAAGTATTGCAGATAACAGGAAACTTTAACTGACGAGTACAGTTGATGCTAGTTCTAAAGCGAGTGAATAGTGAAAGAAATATGAGTTATATAGATGTTTAAAAACTTGTGTCGTCAAGGCTCGAAAACACTTATTTATATTTTTTTCTGCATCGTTGGCACTTACACCTATACCGACTGCGCTGCTTACAATATTAACAGTATGTTTAAAGCGCCAGCAAATTGATTTAGTTTGCTATATATTTAGCATGTCAGTAGTGATCATTCACGCCTTCCTACCACTATACTCTTTATTTGTGATGACGATACTCTCCAATGTTCCCAACAACTTTCGTACATTTGTGGGAAAGAGTTATCGTTAGCGTATCGTGGTAGAAGTCACCTTGACGTACAGACCTTTGGGTTTGGAACACTCCACTAGTTCGTTGTAATTATTAATACAAAAACTTAACACAAAGAACAACACCTTTAATTTGACAGAAATAAAACCTGTCTCCAAGCTCTCTAGGAGGCGGTTTTAACGGTTTCGTGCCGTAGTGCCATCTGCGAGAAATCTTTACTTCTCTAAGCCAAAAAATTATATTAGTTTTGATTTTAATGATTATTAAATGACAAATAAATAATAATAATAAAAATATGATATTAACAATATATTATACATAAATTCATAGAGTGACATGCCTCAATTTTATAGTTTTAAGGTTATTCAAGTCATTGGCTTTTGTTACGTTACACAAGAGACGTCAAATTTTCGATTTAAAGGGATCGGCGATCAGTAGCAACCGAATTGTGATTTCAGGATAATAATTGAGTCAATGACCGTAATTAACATTCTAAATGACACTAAGTACAGCTATTAATCTTAATTACAAAAATTTACATTATCACAGAAATGATAATAGACATTGCAAGTCCAGCAATTGATTGGCATATCATTAAAACTTGATAATGTAAGTTTAATCTACTATGCTGTATTACATAATATACAAGTGTTTAATAAACTTCACATTATAATATTTCCAAACAAAGTAAGCACTTATGAATTTTTTTAGAATTTATATTACTTACGTCACTAATAACCAAGGATATATCTTAGTGATAATTATTTGATAATCGTCGTGATAAATATACCTTAATCTTGATATTTAAAAAAATAATTGGAACAACTAAATTTTAGTATTTGTACCCAAGACATGTCAAATGTGAATCTCAAAGAAAGTCACTAACCAACAGGTTTCCCCAAAGATTTCACTTTGTGTTTGTTTCGTTTTCTTTTGTTTGTCATTTTTTGTCAAAATTAAAGAGACAAAACTATGAAACAATATAGATATTTATCAGATAATTATCATGATAGCATGATAATTTATCAAAAAAAAAAAATATCTTCATAATTTTGAACCCTGCAATAACTACAGTAGAGTAACGAATTAAGAATAACAATTTATGTCTCCAACTGAGAAAATTACCTGGTTTCAACTAGGCTAGGCAAAAATTCCCTTTACTATCAGTAGGGTAACAAATTAACTTCATAGGTAGAGACCCAGACCACCCAAACTAGAACCAATTTAGAAAAATTTCTTTCCTAATTTGGTCTTACCAGGAGTCACAGAGTAACACAATCCTTATAATTGTTAATATTCTATAGGGTTTTTCAATAAGAACTTTGTTTTGTAAATCAAAATAAAACAATAAATTTAGATGACAATGCTTCAAATTTTTATTGTATTAATAAAAGTAAGGTTTGGCAATTATTAATGAAAAATGATATCTGATAAATGTCCACCACGACCACAGTTACAGATGTCGGTTCTTTCCATAAAGTTTTTAATCACTTTTTGAGAAAGTGGTGGGTTTATTTGGTTAATCACTTCAAAAATTGTGAGTTTTAAGGCTGCAATCAATTCGATTGGCTCCGTATAGACTCTGTCTTTAACGTAACCCCATAAAAAGCGGTGTTAAATCATATGATCGAGCTGGCTACTTAACGGCTGAATTTCGTGAAATTATCGGGAAATTTGGTTTGCAATAAATTAATTCATTGTTTCGGTGGCAATGTGACTTGTGCCGTTGGCATTGGGCCGTTTTTTTTCGAAAATTCGGCTGGAAATGCGGTAACGGTGAATGGATCACGCTATCGCGAGATGTTAACAACTCAATTTTGGCCTAGCATTGATGACATAGATATCACTGACATGTGGTTTCAACAAGACGGTGCCACATGTCACACAGTCGATGAGACAATCAATTTATTGCAAACCAAATTTGCTGATCGCGTAATTTCCCGAAATTCAGCTGTTAAATGGCCAGCCAGATCGTGTGATTTAACACCACTGGATTATTTTTTGTGGGGCTATCTTAAGGACAGAGTCTATACGGAGCCAATCGAATCGACTACAGCCTTAAAACTCAAAATCCGTGATGTGATAGCCGAAATAGACCCGACATTTTGCCAAAAAGTGATTAAAAATTTTGATGAAAGAATCGACTTCTGTCAGCGTGGTCGTGGTGGACATTTGCCAGCAATCATTTTTCATTCATAATTGCCGAACTTTTCTCTTTGTAATACAATAAAAATTTGAATCATCTTCATCTAAATTTTTTGTTTTATTTTGTTTTAGAAAACAAAGTTCTTGTTGAAAGACCCATTACAAGCTGTAACAATTCGTTGATTTATAAGTTGAATTTTATTAGTCTACATTCTTTGTCAAATATAAAACAAAATGTATGAAATTTAGCATCCGTGACCTTCAAGCATGCAAAAATAATAAACCACTAAACCAAACTAAAAAACTTAAGACATACCTTGTCATATGCAACAAAGTTTTCATTGTAAATAGCGTACATTCTCTTAGTAGTGATATGGCGCTCTTCGTCCAATGTCCTTGTAGCTTCCGTGTGATGGAATAGAGGGTGTTTTCGCATGAACGTCCAAATTTCGTTCTAGAAACAATAAGCAGAATGCGAAGTGAGTTGAAGAGTTTTATGTTCATTACATTTCATCATTGACACCTAGTTCATTAATGAAGAAACTTCCCATAGTACAAGTGAAAGGGTCGATCTCACTAAAGTGCACATTGTAAGTTTAACAATTCAGCACATAAGTAAGTTCTTCGCATATTTAGTAGAGTGGGGCGAGACGTGGAATAAGGACGTGTGACGTGTGTGGTGCCCTGGCACAGTGCCAACTGTTCTGGGATCTATGAGAGATGCAAAAAACATTGTAGAACAAACCCATGTCCAACGCCACATGACGTTCACCGAGCATTAATTAGCAGCAAGTACTCACGACAGATGTCCTCATATGAGGACTCATCATATGTAAATCTATATTTAAAATGATTTACACATTTTGACTTTGTACACTCAATTTGATTTTTTAATACTGTGTAAGTTGGAACCCATATTAGGCAGGCGCACTCTAATATACTGCAGACATAAGTGTTGGAAATATAGAGGGCTACATTCCAGTAAGCTCTTATAACTACATTATCAACGTAAAAGGACAAAGACATTTTACAATCTCTCACAATGCCGAGATCTCTTATTGAATCACTCTTTCCAGAACAGTATTTTGATTTTATTTTTATTTTTTTGTAATGGTGGAGGAAAATGAGCAGATGAGACACTTGATGGGAGGTAGTCACCGTCTTGCTTGGACATCTGCATCATGAGATGAGCTGCAAATACGTTGCCAGCCTTTGAGGACCCTATTGACACGCTTTTTGGTGTTAAATGATATTGGCTTTGTAAAACTAATGGATTGACAGTGAAAATACTTAATAAGTTATTTATGTAACCACTTTGCTGCTGACTGACGCCCTCAGTGAATAATCCAGTGTTCCATTGGTGCTTTATACTTCTAAGCTATGCAAGAAAGTTTAAAATAACTTACTTTTAATTTCATCGCCGCGAAAGTATCGTAGGACAGTTTCATCCGGCGCCAGTCAAAAGTAGCCTTTTTCCTGTAACCATCTAAGGGTCCCGTCGGTAAATCAGAAAATAATTCCTTTAACTGCCCATCAGTGACGATTTCTTTCTTTTTTCCTTCCATTTTTTCCAACAAAATCGCTTTAAAACTAAGTTACTTTCGCTATGGACTTTACACTTCGGACTTTAAACGCGAAATAGTTAATAAAATAATCAACACCGCTTGTCTCTCTTTATAACTTGTCTTTTATCGCAACGATGATAAGGGGTAAAACGTTGATTGCCGCTTATAAATTATTTACATGAAGTCATGAATGAAAACAAGTGAATTAAACGTACGTTCATCGAACATTGATTATTTTAATATAAATATTATGAACCATATTCCTATGCAATAAAGGATCTATTTTTTAACCAAATAGTTTGACAGAAAGTGTCAAGTCAACGTCATTTTTTGTAATATTTTTTAATTTATTTAGCCTTTGGGTAAGCCAAAAGCATAAACATGATTTTTTTTGTTATATTATAATTTAAAAAAAAGTCAGTTTAGGGTTGCCAGGAGATGGGACACCACACCACAGAAACTGCTTTACATAAGATAGCTAAGTTTCTCTCGCTCTGTTCCATTACATTTAAAAAATTGGGGAGAAAATAAACAAATATGAAGTATTTTAAATTATTAATTATTTTTCATAACATGAATAAACTGATTATAAAGACTTTCGGTTAATAATCTTTGGTGATACTGAAAATCTTAATCGTTTTATTAAGCTAATGAAACAAAATCTAATTTTATCCCAAATTTTCTTGTGCAATAATTAAACCAAATTATAGATATTTAACAAATGCACATATGTTGTATTGATTCTGGCTGCTACAGTAACCTTACTCTTAGTAAGGTATTTAAACTTAATTAGTAGGTACCCCACCTATAAAAAGTGTAATATATAAATTATAACCATTTTTGTGACATCAATATATTCGTTAATTAATACCCTACATTGTACAGGGTCAAGAGCACGTCAAGCTTGACACTAAAGGTTTAAATTTAACTCTATGCCGCTTGCAATATGAACGGTCCAAAGTCCAAAGTGTCAAGCTTGATGTGCTCTTGACTGTACCTGTACGTATTATTACTTTTTTGCATTAAAGGGAAAATTGTTCAAGGGCAACCTTGATTTGTGTTTTTTGGCTCTCCTGTAAAATGTTAGCACTAATTGCTAGGTTGTGCTCTGGAGCCAATCTGGAGCAGTCGAGAAGTAACGACAAAATTTAATGATCACTGATCAAATTGAGGGCTTAATCAACTGGTAAAACAAAAAAAAATAACGCTCACACACTTTTGGAATCATAAATGTACTGAAGACAGTGATAAACTACAAGTAACATCCTTATATTTAAAAATGCACTGTAATCCTGAAATAGGCGTGTGGCGCGGCGGTGATAACAGCTTTCGATTGCATGCAGGTATATGTTACATCTCCAGTAGTAGTCTTATCTGGTAGGAATACCGGTCGGTCGGTACAGGACGTCAATTAAAATCAGCGTTACGTTAAAATAAATTAAAATTTGAATTAAATGCACAATTTTTACACAATATTAAATTAAACGCATTTTTTTATTTTGGCACACGAGTTTGAGAAGCTGTAACGGTCTGGCAACCCTGTGTCAAATTACAAATACACAATTTCAAAACAAAGTTTGGTGTCGTATTGTAATCTATAGTATTTTGTTCATAAATTGTTTTTTGTGGTGATATTATAATGTGTAAAGGTAAGTGAATCAACAATGTATCGTTAACTTTTCTTCTTTTTTAATAGGTAGAATTTTTAATGAACAAATACGATAAACGTTCACAGTTTTTGTGATTTTACCTGTTACTTTGCATTGGTTTAATTTAGTTCAGTGTAATACTCTTATCTATGCTTTTGGTTCGTCTTCCGTACCGGAAATATTATATGTCCATTATAGTGTCCATTATCGTGTTCTTTTTTCGATTATCATGAACTTTGTTCTATTTGAATTTAGAAGTTGGTAGATCTCTATGGAGGTAAGATTTGAGTTGAGAATTAAATAGTATTTCAAATCTTTTAATTCGTTTTTGGTTCCTTGGTCGTAAGAATTTCACAAATAAATGATTTATTATTATTATTAGAAAGTAAGAAACTTCGATTTTGGCGGTTGGTATTCGAGTTTTTATTACAAAAAAACTATCGATGATCACACTTAATTTGTTTTATACTGTACATAAATAGTTATTTAGTTAGTATAGTTCTTCTGAGGAGAAAGCTCCCGACAACCTGGGGTTTGTGTGCCCATAGAAGACAAAAATGTGATGGATACGGAAGATAATATTCATTTACTCGATAAGAAACAATCAAATTTTTACAAGTATAAACATAGTTAGTGAAAAAGCTTAAAAAGATGGTAATGGAAAAGTATGCAAATATACAAATCAGATGAATAGGCTCAAAAACTTCACTCTTGAATGACATCTTATCTCCCAAAATTGCTCCAGAATTTAAAGGTGGACGGAAATAATACTCTTTGTCAAAAGGGATGTAGTTAATTGTAATGATTGACACAATGACGATTGTTTCCATCTGATTCAATTTGGCAAGTTTAGAAAAATAATTTTCAAAATATCATCAATGGCAGTTTGAAAAGGATAGGAACGGAGTCTCCTTTTCTTTTTTAAACCCATTGAACTACAAGGTCTAGGTCTAGGAAAGAATTAAATAATTTTGTTGATCACATTAATCTTCCACAACAAAACCTACCCACGTTTAATGTGATCTCGAAGTAAGTAGTGAGTGGTGTCCCAGTAAAATGGAATGATCATGTAACTTTAGATGTGTCAATACATTTTGGTTGTGGCAAAATTATGAAGGTTAGGCAAATAAAATATAAAACATTTGTATAAAATAATATAATATTTTTTTTATTGCCCAGATTGAACATAGTGAGTGATCATGGTCTTAGTACATGACTAGGTTGGTCCTTATATTTCATCATCATCATCATCATCAACCATTACATGTCCCACTACTGGACACGGGTCTCCTCTAATGCAATTGCACTATTAGGCACTAAGATTACAATGTTTAATTTTACCATTAATATTATATATAATTTAGATTTTTTTTTGTTTTGTTTATTACTGTTTATTTTAATATGTTATCTTCAATTACATTGTTTTCATTAGAATTGTATTAGATTAAGTCATATTGAAATAAATTTATCTTATCTTAATGAGAAGGTTTCGACCGTTGTCCGCCACTCTGGCCTAATGCAGTTTGAAACTTCACTTTTCTTTGTCAAAGGCTGCGAACCTTCTTTGGCGTGCAGGTTTAATCACAATATTTTCCTTCACTATTAGGGTGAGCTACTGCTTCAAACATTCGCAAATGTACATAACTCAGAAGTTAAACTCAATGGTACTCGCCGTCACAGGGATTTGAACCAATGACCTCTCAATTGAGAAGCAACCGTTATCCTACCATCGCTTCATGTTTCCTTATGTTGCACAATTTCTACTCACTCGGCTTTAGGATCCACTGAAAATCAGCGTCACAGCCTTTTCCCAGTGGTGGCATTAGCTGAGTGGATCTTTTTATATACACCACAGCCATACACATGACATCTACTTAGTACAATTATTTCATTACATTTTACTAAAATTTAATTTTTTATTTATTTAAATTTTATTATTTTATTTAAATTTTTTTGTTATTCATTTTATTTTTGTTCTAATTTAGCTCATAATTATCTTTTTTTTTCTTACTGTGTGTTATTGTGTTGTGGCGTTATGTAAAATGGTGTCTATTCTATTCATATTTTGTTTTTTTAGTGTATGTTGTGGTATTGTAATAAATTAATTATATTTCATTCTAAAACATGGGAAATGAAACAATTTTTTCGGATCTAAATTACCTACCTAGATTTGTTTTTTTAACCGACTTCAAAAAAGGAGGAGGTTCTCAATTCGCCTGTATGTTCTTTTTTTCCTTTTTTTTCTTTTTTTTTTTCCTTTTTTTTCTTTTTTTTTGTATGTATGTTACGCGATAACTCCGGTATTTGTGAACCGATTTTCATGATTCTTTTTTTGTTGGAAAGGGGGTACTTCCATAGTGGTCCCATTTCATTTTGAAGAAAATCATCCACCTCGAAGGGTGGCTGTTCACGCATGAAGATTCATTTTTATAAATAGCGCCTAACTTTAATTTAGGAGCAATTACTTTTAGCAATTATTTAGTTGATTTTGCTATTTCTCCAATTCAAGGCGTTTTTCTCTCGATATACTTTGAGTAGTATACTTTGTCGTAGTGAGAACCTATTTTTATTATCTCCAGTATCAAGTCCTGTATAGTGGCGAACTAGGGGATATTTCAATGAAACTTAGCAAATAGACGTAATTCCACGTACTTTTGAGGTCGGTTTTTTTAGTACTCTGTACTGAGATTATCAAACAAACCAAAGGGCTCTTGGTCATAGTAAACTCGCACTGTTTTTATTGTTGGCACTTTATAAATAAAGATCATTAATAGAGTAAGATAGAAAGGGTGCCAATTATTGAATATAAAGCATAGGTTCCCAAAATTTTTGGCGCACTTGGGCAAGATAAAAAATTTCAATGAGATGGTGATCTCAAAAAACACTTGAAAACACGTATTTTTTTATATTAACTTAAGACAAAAAATCACAAGGAAAAAAAAATTGTAGTGTAGTTTATACATATGGGTAATTCAGTTTTTTCAAATGCGGTAGCACCCCCTGGACAACATCAACGCGCTCCATATGCTTCCGTGGCCCCTAGGACTCTTCAGCGCCCACTTAAAGTGACAGTAATTTGACTCTTCAACCTATATTTCGTCTGTTTAAAGGTAAAACCACATAGGTGACATTTTCCGCAAGTCTTTCTGCACGTGAAGCTCAATAACAAAAAAGCTATAAGCTTCATAAGAGTTTTATCTGCAGAAAGATGGTGAATTTCTTACAAGTGGTATATAATTTGGAGATTTTTTTGTAGCAAATGTCACTTACGTGGTTTTATCTTTAAGCAGACGATTTTTTTTTTGGCATTATCTTATATTAAAATGGATAGGAGATACAAAATGGCGGTTATTGTAAAATAACTATAGGTCTCAGATAGATATTGCAGACTTGAATGTACAAATTGACATAATACAAAGATGAAAATTAAAATGGTACCAATGTCTCATTATCTTCGTCTAACAGGCATCTAATTAGTCTAAATAAAGCTATACGAAGTAAAAAGCCAATCACTAGATCGAAACCAAGCGGTATGCACGTAAGCTATTAAACCTAATGAACGGTCTCTAGTCTTTCTAACGTTGCAGAACATAAGGACGCGGAAATGTATCGATACTTTTTGATATCGAGTTACTTTCCTTTCGATAACGATACTTTTGTACTCGATACTTACTTACTTCTTGATAAGTATTGCATCGATTCGAATAATTCCAACTCAGTTTAGTGGCAGGTTTGCTTTTCACGTATATTTGTCGAAGTAATTTTGAGTAGTCGTAAAGTGTGCACGTGTTGATGTGAAGTTATAAGTACTTTGACATTTTGTAAACAAAACGAAATAACAACTTCGAGGCACGCCTACCAGAGGGAATGTGTGGTCAGGGTCGGCTGCTTCGTTAAAAAATAGATTTGATTTTAATATTCTTATCCACTGAGTCGATAGAGCTTGTTTACACGCATAAATAAAGTTTAGTTTTAAAGTACGTCCTATTTCAATTTCAATGTAAAAAATGAAAAGTCTTCTTCTTTTAAATGCTATGGCTCCATCGAAACAAACGATGATTTCGCCAATGACAAGTAAAAATGACAATGTGCGGTACTTCTACTTTATAATGTTACAATCTCATCGATACCATGTCATATCGATTTCAAAAGCCAAAGTAGGTAATTGATATATTGATATCCACTTTAAAGTTAAAAATAAAATATTGTATGAGTAACTACACGATATATTCAAGCATAGACACTAATCAGAAACATAAAACAATAAAGTTTTCTCGATAGATAAAAATCACGAAATGACCTCTAATTTTCACATTTTTTCGATTCATCCTCGAAATGCTACAGGTTATTAGGACAAAAATTAGATAAATAATTATATTTATGCATGATCGAGAACTGTCACTACGGACTTTTTTAAATCCCTTTAGTTTTAGAGTCATTCCGCTAAAACGAATTTGGTAGGTACTTTTAATGCGCAAAATTCAACATCTCCTGTCGCATGTCACGCGAACTTCAGGCATATATTCGTTTCACAAATTTGGGCGGAGCCAACGTCAAAACTTTTGGCATGCTCCCTCTTAACAAATGACAATTGACAGACATACCTACCTCGTGAAATGCTCGCACAATTTCCGCAACAACATCACATTAGGATTTTTAAACAAAGAATTTAATAAAAAGCGTTGATTAATTCAAAGATGTTTTATTTTGTCTTGAATAAAATTGGTGAAATCTGTAGGATTACACCATCAACATTTTTGATTCGATACCGTGTCCCTAATTTATTATTTATTTATTTAAACTTTATTGTACAATGTACTCAAGTACAAATGGCGGACTTAATGCCATAAGGCATTCTCTACCAGTCAACGATTGGGCCAAACAGAGAAAAAACAATAGGTTGGTGCTTACGTTTAAACAAGAAGAACAATATACTAGAAAGCTAATCGATAATTTGTACGGTATAAAATAAATAATATAACATAAACATATTTACTATA